CAAATGGAAAGGCTCCGTTTTATGGAGCTTTTAAGCTCTGAAGCAAAAAACCGCAAAAGAAAATATCAACATAACACTTAGTGTTTTTTGTTTCATTTTTATTAGTTTTAAGTGCAGTAAAATCAACAAGAAATTTTATTATGTCTTATATAACAAAACAGCATTTAAGATAATTTACTCAGATTGTAAATTAAAATGTCGTTTATGGTCACTCAATATACCTTTACCTACCTACTAATATATCTCGATACTACATATATTAAAGATCCATGGTATAGGTTGTAACCCTATAACGCTTGTATAAAACTATGAAAACGCAGAAAGCCGGAGATGCAGATAGACGAGTTAGATAATCAGTCAGGCATACAGGATGAGGCCGAGCTATCTAGCGTCCTATCGCGGAATTGTGGATAATGGCCCTGGATTATGCGCTTAACTGCGCCTTAGTAAATTGACCTGGAATACGTGAAAAAAGACGATTTCGATTAGCGTTTTATGTCTGCGAAGCTTTAAATTTAAAACCTTACGGATTTACTCTATTATAGTTTTAGCCGACTAACTTTTTTTACTTCGATAATAATGATAGATCTTCGATTGTTACAATGTTGTACTTACCTTAGGGCTTAGAGTGATAAAAAATGTCAGCCATCTTTGTTTGTAAAGTTAGGTTTTATATAGTTTAATACTATACAGATCACAGCTCAAGCTCTTAGGATTTGTGTTTATGTAACTGATAATGATATATTAATCATTAATTATGTGGTAATTAATGGATGCTGGGTCGGCTAATACATAATCCTTTATAATTAAGCACTATGGGAAATGCCATTCCTATATGAATTATTACCTACTATGTAGGTAAATTATATTTATAATACTAATTATTTAAATTAAATTTCATGAACAATTCCATAACATATATTTACTAAACATAACTCATTCTGATGGCATAAATGTGAATTAGTCAATAAGTAAGCAGTTATCTAGTAGTCCAACATAGTCATTTAATAGATATGGGCACCCGCCATTGCCCTTGCAAACCAGTTCCATGTGCACGCAAACAGCAAACAGGAATCGCGGTTCGCTTCTTCCCCTTGATTGTTATGATTCAATTATATGGAAAAATTTAACGCTTATTCATCGTGTTCTAGACGTACTGCATTCACAATTCAATTCGGAGCAACCTTCTACTAAAATAAAAGCTATATCGATTGGGGCATTATAACTATCAGTCACGGTCTCGATCACGACCGCATGGAAAGGCCCGAGCTTAAATCTTAAACAAACTCTTTCGTGACGATAAATGACGATACGGGAGTGTTTCGTGAGTTTTTGTCGTCTAGTTCTCGCGTGAGCAAAATTGGGCAGATGCAAATGACCGGTCAATGTATCTGTATTAGCGAGTCGAGTCGATAAAGCCAGTAGGTGGAGACCCGGGCTCCCAGCTCGCGCCACAGTCCCGTTACTTGGACGCAACGCGCTTGTTATGCAACTGATGTGCCCCGCGACCATCGCAATGCCTACCACATACAAACCACTTTGCAATTAGACTGCTTCATTGAATTACATTCAATCTTAGCTCCTGATGTAATAAATTAGCATGAGAACTTTTAACAAAATTATAATTCTAAATATATCACATTACTGTATTATATAATTGTATTTGTATAGTTAATTAAATATGAAATGTATATTCTGTATATGTATGTGGCCGAAATGGCGCAACACCTTACAAGTTTAATTAATTAATTTTCGTAGCTCTTTTTTTACAAATTACCTACTATATATTTTTTGTAGACACCTCTATAACTAAAACTTTTGAGATGTGAAAATCCTGGACTCTTTCGTGGCCTTGTTTACGAGTATAAAGTCCGTTTCGAATAAGAAACGAAGAAAAAAAGAACCACGAAAGTTATCGAAAAAATAGTTTTATTTATAATGTTAAGTATTTGCGAAAATCTAAAGTATCATTTAAATTCAATTCTAAGACATTGCGGAAAAAAATCATGTAAATTATATTGTTATGAATCTGTGAGGTAAATCGAGTTTGTCAAGTAACGTCAATTCAATGAATTGTATAATATTGCAAAAAAACGGATTCATGGGCCACTATGGGCTGATTAGGTAAAGATTAAGGTAAGAAAAAAAATTAAATTACAACTATATAATAAACTTTTTTTTAACATTCTTCCTTAACATTGAAGGTGTAATTAGAAGCAGTTGTCGCGTATTATATGAGAACACCTTATGGTTTACATTAGCTCGACTTAATCCCAACTGGGTGACGTACAAAGAGATTAATTACCAAGAGCCCGCGTTATTTCCATCTATGTAGCTCAGGACGTGCTACCTGTCCTTATATAACATTCATTAGCAGTCTTGCGGTGGATACATATCCCGCCCAAAGTCATGAACATGCCGCCTAATATAGAAATGTTTATATTAAGAAATACTGTTTCGCTTTCTACAGCCAAAATTAATAGCAAATCTGTCGATTGCTTTATATACCAGAAAGTTGAAAGCTAAGCTCAATAGTAGGTTACTTACAATTAGTTTTAGCACTTAAACGAGAAAGCTTTTGCCTGCGGCTCTGATCGCGTAGTTTATGTATGTATGTATGTATGTATGTTACTTCTTCACCTACCAAGGAGGGTTAAGCGCGATGTGTGAAAGTCTACTTTCCTCAATAAATAAGCTATAAACTAATGCAATACATTTTTTTATCGGAGTGTGACATGATAGTTCCGGGGATTAGACCGTTAAGACAAACAAAAAACAAACCTTATAATTTATACATCAGCTTTATAATATACCTAGGTGTGGATTTATAAATTTCGAGTACGAGTGTACTCTTGCGTATTTCATAAATACCAACTAACAATCCCGAAGAAGCCAAAACGAATTGAAATTCGAAAACGCTTACTGTCATCCGTTTAAAAGAAAATGAAAACATTCCAGCGCGTAGCGAGAACTAATGTGCCTACTCGATGGAGCCTCCCCTTGGCTTGGCCCTCGTAGCTGCCAGATTATCTTTCCTCGGAGCAATTTGTAGGGATTTGTGGAGGAGCTTTGCGCGTAACTAATAGATAATATATCGCTTTATAATTATGCCGATAGTATAATTGACTGCACAGAAGGTATTTTGATAGTTTTGACTTCTGAAACCTTGTTGGCCCCTGTATTAAATCAGATGTAAAAAAAAAACTTATGCATAATATGTAATTTTTTTATAAATTAAAGTGAATGACTAAATACATGTCGTATTAAAATCAGTCAAGAGTAAATTGTACTTGCTTGAGCTCAGTGAGGATTTACCACTAAATTTGAGAATTGTACATTTGTTTTTTTTTCACTAGGGCAAGGTCTTATGTGAAGGCCTGAACCTTTTAATTACTTGTTAGGATATTTTTATTATAATGTGTACATTTTGTAAGAAATGCAACTGAATTCCTACTTCAGTTGAAAGATAAAAGGTCAATCAGATAGATTGTCAGAAATAGTATAGTACTATACTATTTCTAAAAATCTATCTGTATATATAGTTTAATATCCTCTACATCTCCATCTTTAATAATAAATGCTTAACTACAAATGATTAATACTTTATCAATATGCTCTTAAATTCACATGACACACAACATTAAGTTTCATTATTAGCTTGGATAAAGTATAACATTGTTGCATCTACTGAATCTCGGCTAATGTAACATTAGGCAGACATGCAATATTTTTAAAATATAACAGTCATTCATAGACTATAAAGATGATTTTTATCCAATGATGATTAATGATAAGTTTATAAGTATACAGAGTATATTGTTAAGGAAAATAAGATATAACAGAGTGATAATAAATTGACAGATAGTTGAACATTTTTACAGATATGTTCCACATTTTCCTATTATTTTTTATAAAGACATTTGTTATTCAATGCTTTGAGATAATGTAAATAAAAAAAAATTATAATAACAAAATATAAAATTGACAAACAATAAAGCTCATTTGACATCTGATTAAAGTTTTTTTTTTGATATTATTCATATTATGTACAAAAACCATTTCTCAAACTTACACAAAATTATTTTACAAGTTTACTGTTTAGTTCACTTTTTGTTATATAATATACACAACATAAGATATATTTTTAAGCAATAAATACTTAGTGTATTTTATGTTTTAGTAAAAGAAATATTACTTTTTTAACTAAAATGTAATTAATAATTGAGACATAATATAAATTATACAATTGTGTCCATTTATGTAGATATGATTATTTTAAAAGCTTACCATTTTTAAATAAACAGCACATACATATCTAGGAAAATTATATAAATGAAACATGCAAAAATATTTAAAAACAAATTTAATTATAAAAGATAATGGAAAGTAACAGGACATTTCAGTGGTGCATGCATTAAAAGCAAATAACCCGAGCGCGTAGGAAGCAAGGTTCTTTTCTCACCTCGCAAAGTCAGTGGTGCGGGCTCCAGCGGCGTCGCCACGACCCCCGCGAGCTGTGCCAGGGCCTCAACGGTCCACAGCACACCCCACATGTCCCACAACCTCATCACAACACTCCACTATCTCATTATTGGCACAACATTCACAGAACTTAACCGATGTGAACATCTAACTATGCTAATTCCTTGTGGCACGATCATACTTTGGAAAACATCGTAAGATACTTTTAATGATAAATCGCGTTATTTACATTATGTTAACTAAGAATTCTTTGAAAAACTACTCGAATGTTTTTGAAACAAAGACAGATGCTGCACGTCATAACATTTCACCGCTGAACTCCGGAATACGTTCACTATCTACGACCCTTTACGTCTCGCTGTGGTCTAAACACTAGTGTTGTCCCGTTTGTGTTGCAAGTCTCGTTTGTACGATTCGATTTAACCGATTATACTCGCATTCGTTTAACCAAAACATTAATTTAATAATTGCATCTATAGTGACAAGAAAAATAATATTAATACTTTATGCATGTTTTAATAAGTTTTAGAAATAATTTTACCCTGCTTATTTTTTTGAGGCTTTTTAACTTTACAAATACACGGAGTATACGGAACAATTTGTGGTAAATCCGTGGTATTAAATGTCATAACAATTTCTGCGATTTGCTGTAGATAACCAATTTTTATTTGGGGATCTCTAGGTAACATATATTTATTTGCAGGTTGCCATTCACCTTTAACCAAATGCGCCGGCTGAGAAAATACTCCATTAAATGTTAATCCAAACGTACCTGGAAAATATCATAATTACATTTAAATGTTTTTATCTTTTCTCTAAAAGCTATTTCTTAGATAACATAGAAAAATATAATTAACGTGTTTATACCATTACATTGAATCCCTAAATTTAATACGCAATTGGGTTTTGGATCAAATAGCCAATATTTGACTAAATCTAAGACTGCTATAGCTTTATTAATTGAGACAGGACAATCAGACATTTTTTTTTGTACCTGAAATTATATTATTGTTAATGAAAATATATTTTTTTTGTTTTTAGTAAAATATGTATTCATAATGGCGAAATACTTTGCGCTCTGCTACAATTTTCCATAAACTTTCGTCTCGAAACATTAAGTATTCCATTGTTCGCATCTCTGGTGTGAGAGTGCCAATAGGGAGAGTAGAATTCATGACTTTTGAGTATCTATCATATGGATCAAACGAATAATACTTATGTACTGTAGTGTAAATATCTACTAAATGGTTAATCCCAACAAAGCCCCAAACAGGTGGACAAAACATATTTCTCAAGGGCACTTCAGCAATTTCAGCAATAATTGGTGCAACTTCGAAACCTAAATCCGATGTTGTAACAACAATATTATTTTTTTTTATTTTAGTTACAGATTGAGCTAAAATAGATGCATTGTAACATGATGGTCCTAAATTAGGCAACATAACAAGCATGTTTGAGGAAGCTGTAGCGTTTATATTAACTGCTATATGTTTCATAATTTTTTTATTCTTGTAGAGCCATTCTCCTATAGAGTATGGAGATCTAAAAACGAAAGATTGTGTTAGAAATTATTTATCATTAATATTTTTTGTAAATATATAAAAAATTAACATAAATTAAAGTCACCTGAATGGAGCAAAGTCAAGAATGATTAAAAGATCTGTGCTAGTGAGCCCAACTCCTATCTTTTCAATATATTTGACTATTTTAGCAGATGTATTAGTCCCTATATAGTTACATTCAAATTCCACAAATTCCATCAAACTTTGTGAGCATTTTTCATCATAAAGATATATTTTCGATATTTTATCAGAATTTTGTAGCAAACCCGATATTATAAATATCGCTAAAGGATTGCCTGCTCCAGAAATACAAATCGTAAAACTAGTATTGTTTGTTTTTTTTATATTATGAGAATCATCAAGCCTTGCTACGGTCCTAAATTCTTGTTTATTTTTTTTCTGGAATTGTTCATAGTTATCTACTAAATTTTCGAATCTTTTTGGCGTCAAAAATACATCAAAGTTGTAATACGTATGGCAATATTCTAAGAAATCAGAGGCACTACCAATATATGACGGCTTGCTACCTGGCATTAAAAGCTCCTTCCAAACAATTGGAGAGCCGATGTGATGCCATTTATTTTTTTGATTTATCTTACATAACCAAGGCTGAAAATATAATATACAAAACCTTAGTCACAATTAGACATATAATAATAATTCAATTCTTTTATTTCGTGGCTTCTAGGAGTGCCAGTTGGGCACAATTTACATTTAATAATCATAGTATAATAAAATAAATGAACGTTTACCTTCCACTCCGCCACTGATTTTTCTATACGATCATAGCAAAAATCTGGTAAATACTGTGCAAGGCGGTCAGCCACCAAGCATACTTCTGCAAATAAATCACACTGTGATTCTCCTGCTATTACATATCGGAGGCCCATATTTAGCAAACCAAAAATATAAAGCAATTATTATAACAATATTTCCTTCGAGATTTTAAACATGAACCGTTATACATGTTTGACGTATATATTAATATATACTTTTTATTTTTATACTTACAGTATTACTAATTCTTTTATTGTGATAACACAAGTTCTCAATATAATTAAAAATATTAATATAAATATAACATAGTATGACCGTAGGCAATTTTTGAGCAATTAAAACATTTCTTTGATTTGACTGACTTAATCGAGAAATGTCATAAATCGATTTCGCTTAACTTTTATATAATTCCTAAACGTTATAATAACAATGACAATTGACGTTATGACTTTGACAAATGAAGACATAATTTAGGTTTTGGTCTTCCTTCTTTGGAAATTGGAAGTTTGGGACTTGGGTAAATACTAAATGGTAATGGGTAGTGATTGACCAGTGGTAGAGTGCCAGAGTGGACCCGGATTGGTTTGTTATCCGGATGGCACTGGATGCTTTTAAAGTCAAAGATTTTTAACGTTGAACATCAAAACTAAAATTTTTATTCGAAGAAAAAAGAGGCATAAATTAAAATAGAAAAAATTAAAAGATAAGCTGACATAGGAAAACTACTTAATGGAGAAGTCAACGTGTTAAGTTTTTACTATTGAAGCATTTAAAGTAAACTATACCGCCGAGCAGATTTATGTATAACCTTATTCCGAAAATAAATATAATAAAATGCTAAGTACCGAGCGTATTTGGGGTTTCTGTGACCTTATGATTGACAAAAGTTTTGATATCAGCAAACTCCAATTCATTGAAAAACTTGGGTTTAACACTGTTGCTATCAATACAAATGTTGCAGAAGAAGATGACGAACCAAAAAAAAAGAAAAAGAAAAATGATCCTAAGGATAAAAAAGACCACATACCAGCACCAATAACAATACCAGATGATATTAAAACTAATTGCAAATTGAACATTTTACAAAGAGTTACAATAGAGTTTTCTGAATCAAGCATTGCTCATAAAATTAATCAATCTGAAAATATTAAAAAATATGACATTATAGCTGTTTTGCCTAAAACATTACAAGCTTTTCAATTCGCTTCAGGTACCCTTGATACTGATATAATAACTTTTGAAGCCCAGACTAAAATACCATTTAAAGTTAGTCGTAAGTTGTACAGGCAAGCTGTGGAACGTGGCATATTTTTTGAACTTATGTATGCTCCAGCAATAAGAGATTCTACTTCAAGGAAAAACATAATCAGCACTGCTCATAATTACCATGCTGTCGGAAAATCTAAAAATATAATAGTGTCAAGTGGTGCTGAAAATTATATGCAGTGTAGAGGAGTACACGATGTAATTAATCTTGGATTCATTTTAGGATTAAATAGTAACCAGTGTTTAGAAGTAATAAAAGACAATCCACAAAGGCTATTATTAAAAGCAAAGAGTAGAAGAGTTGGTAAATTCTATGTGGAAGTGTCTTCTCCAGAAATAGATAATAAAAATAAATCATCTAAAGAATAGTTATGCACTTTTATTATTCATTTATAAAACAATAACTTAATTTTGTTTAAAAGATACATCTTTGAGAATACAAGTTTAGCATACTTTTTTTTTATAGAAAGAAGTTTAAATAACAATAGTATAATTTAAAGTAAACAATTTTTTTATCAAATCATAGGTTATTTGAATTAGATTGTTTATATAAATAAATTAAATAATATTTTGTTTCATAAAAGGACAACACAAATTATTTTTATTACAAATCTAAAACATGAAGTCTTACATAATAAATTAAAGCCAACAAACATAAATCATGCATAATTTATACCACATTATTGTATTCTTAATATAAATAAGTAAAATATCAGTAGAATTACAAAATATTGATTAAATATCAGAGCTTTTTACTCAGATTTCAAATGTCCGGAATTATTATCCGGGTTTGATTCAGTCTTTTCTGTAATTACTGTTCTCTCGATAGAGTTCCGTGGCACTGATGCAGCTTTAATTGGCATGTCTTCACGAATTTTAAAAATATCAGCAATCCATTTAAACCTGGACACGAAAATTTTGTCATTAATTTTAGTTAACAACAAACACTACCCAAATGAGACTGATTAGTTTTCTATAAATCCTAAACATAACCTACATTTTCTTGATAATACATAAATTTATTGCACATGTTATTAAATGTTGGGAAGCACACATGATTAAGCACAAATGATTATTAATAAGCAAAGTTAATGAATTAAGAATAAAAAATCAACAAATTTTTAGGTGATACCTTAACACTAGTGTATTGTGTGATCTTGTATGGGATGGAAGTGGAAGATAAGAATTTATGTTAATATTACACATTCAAAATTGGTCTTGACAATACAAAAAATTAATGTGTTATTATAAAAAATACTAAAGCCAATAAAAAATTCATTTTTTTGCAGTTAAACTTTCTTGAAAAAGACCATTTATTATTTTACAGGTGACCAAGAATAGTGTAAGAAACTAATTTCCTTACAAAAGTACGATATATTGCGTGACAAACAGTATTGTTATTATTATACATATTTGTATTAAAGTTATTTACATACTTATTTATCCACTTCTCGATAACATGGGATTAAATAAAAAGCGTTTAGATTTTTTTATATATATTTTTCAAATGCAATCTCAACGTTTGGTACAGATAATACAAAATGTATAAAACTCACACTAGCATAATACAATAACTAAATAAACATACACACAGAAGGCTATAAGCATACTCCATTTAAACAGTAAGTACCTATGGATCTTGAATTTTGGTTGGTAATGGCAATATCATTGAATGTTGGTAGCACCACAAACTACTTTTTGTTACAATTAAGAACACAATTTTACTTCTTTTTATTACATATGTTTAAAGGATTCATGTGAGAAAATTTTCTCATATATAATTTTCTACTTTTTGTTTATATTATTATTGCTAATTTTGGAAATGTTCTTTTGAAAAAGAGTTAACATGTGCGTTAGTAATGATGGATGCTCTGGATTTAAGCTTTTTAGCAGTTAGAACATGAGAGATCCGTTACGACTAGAAAAATTTAAAATGGCCTCTATCATTTACTAAAAAAAAACAAAAACTATCATCTTTCATCTTCATCAGTTATAGTCTATTTGTAGGAAGAGCTCAGAAATGCACTTTTTCGTGTTAAAAATATAATTGAAAAAAATAGAAAGTTATTTTCAGCAAAATTAATATGACACAAAGATTAAATATTCACGTTTATTTCTTTAATCATTTTTATTATTATTCTCAACCAATAAAATAATTTCAAACACGTAGAACTCTTTCTATGAGAAATTGAACTATAAATGATAAAATATGAAGTCAATGAATGTAATCAATAATTATTTATATCGACTACACTGAATAGCGGATTCGCAAATACAATTCCAACCAATAACATCTTCCGCCACAGTTAGTAACATTTTGAGCAAAGGCTTGATAGAGGTCACACTCTCATAATTTCTTTCTACTAAAGTCTCGTCTAGCCGCCTAGCAGTAACCTATTATTTTATGATTTTTTTTATGTTTTTCACAAATCATACAAAAGTGCAACCTCTTTTTAACAAAACAATATATACTAAACAGTCTTCAAATGTCTTTTTTGTTTTAATTTGCTTAAGTGCGAAAAATTTCGAGACCAGAAAATTTTATGTCCTACCTTTATGGTGCACGTACTTATAGATTTATCGGTCATGGCTAACATAGATATTTTCGATTACTCGAACACAATCGACACATCTCTCATTACATACACTGATAAAATAAATAATCTCCCGACAATTCAAATAATAGTTAACAAATTCAGTCTCATTGGTTAAAAACAAATCAAATTCACACAAAGATCTGCAATCTTTCCTCAAAAACTATATTAGGAATAAAATTATTATTATAAATGTCAAGCATTGAATTAAAAAATATAAAATATTGTGAATTATTAAAATTACAATAAATGCAAAGAGTTTAAAATGCTAATTTAAAACTAAAGCAATTATTTATTAACCAGCGATTTCCCGTGGTTCAAAAATTTACCGTTAAAAATACAATTTATTCTAACTTTATTAGTTTTTAGTAAAACTTTAAAGTAAAAATTTGTTATATCAATAATTTTAACTATGACCTAAGGTGCGTACAAACAGGCATAAATTCTAAACTCTTATGAGCCAATTGCACCAAAATTCTTAAATTGACCTAAATGTCATGGATATGTTTAGGAAACGTCAAACAGTACAATTTGACGTATGCTAAACATATGACATTTAAACCATACAGCCGCGTTGACACGCTCAATGTCTGCTTTGACAAAAAGCTTTGAAACGAAGATTACTATGGTAAACACGGCTCCAAGTCCACTTTGATTGAACACCGACGTCAAAGTGCGTTTTGATTGCTCTTTTACACGATCAAAGTAGTCATCAAGACTACTTTGTCAAAGTAGACTTTGATCGTGTCAACGCGGCTTAACATTGATTTGGCGAAAATGGCTATTAGTTTTAAAACATTAGAAATATGATCGATGTACAAGCACGACTTCTGAACAGCGTTATAATAATCTAATATAGATAATTTCCTATTTCAACTATAAAATTAAAATTAATTATACATTTTCACATACATCTTACACGCGGTAAGTCCGGTTGGTCCTACGATAAAACATGGCAATCTACACATTAATGTTACTTTAAATCTAATTATTTCATTCCCAATAATACATTTTATTTAACAATTCGATTTAATAACTATAAATAATAATGTCAAATAGTTCATACGATCATGTTCATATTAATTATTTAATAATAGTAAGATATCATGAATAATAAAAAAAAACTCAATTTATATTTATTTTATAATATTTTGTTCAACTTTACATTCGCCCCGCGATTATATCATAAATAATGGTAAATATGTATTGAACGTATTTTGTGCGTGTTGGCGGAATAAACAAAATGTAAGTATTTCTAAGAAAAAAAATACTAAATCCTATAGGCACTAAAGATGATTACAGTTAATATGTACATTGTTGGTAGTTCATATTTTTATATATTGTTTTCATTATTATAGAAACAATTTTCTATACAACATCCTCTATATATATTACAAAATCATCACTTGATTCTAAAGACATTAAACTATGCACATAATATCTTACTATTACATACACAATAAAATACGCGCCACAAAACTTGAACCAAAGTGAACAAAAACATTTACAAATTAACATGTTAAATATTTCATCTGCAATATAGTTATTTACTAATGTAATGTATCAATTAAAAAAAAAACTAGAAACAATAATAACCTATTTAATATGGAAAGTAGAGATAAGGAGAACTATCTTATATCGGGGACAAGTTGAAAAAGGGTCCACCTGTAAGCGTTAAATAATAATTCAAAAACCGTCCAGAATGGCGCTAGCGTAGATGCAGGGTATAGTATGAAGTACCAGTTGTAGTGCTGAGTTGAAAGATTTAATATTTTGAGTGACTTCAGTAGTTATTAAAACTATTTACGTAATCCAAAGTAATTTAGGAATAGATAATATAAGGAAAGAAAAATCTGGTGATATAAACAGAGACTGATTTATTTTATTTATTTTTTGTTTCAGAGACTGATTTCTTTTATTTTTTGTGAAGTTAAAATAATAATTTTGGCGCTTTCTTTAAATCTATCTTGTTGCTACAGTAGCGCCACCCTAAGCCTAGTAATTTAAAGTAATAAAATAGTGTAAACGCTTTACGATGGACACTTTTCATCACAGAAATAGTGCTCCTTACGTCTACCCTCCATACTATTTAATTTCATATGAACCCGCCATCTTGGCTCAAGTCACGTGACACGTACATACAACACGAGAGCACTAGTTGTTGAGGAAAGACACGCAATGGGCGATTGTATTGACGTTTTCCACCAACCTGTTGTACAGTTCGCGGCGCACGCTGGCGGTGAACTTGCTCACGAGGCAGAGCGTGACCGTGGCCGCGAATATAGCGTTGTATAGCAACACTAGCTTGAAGTTCCCCAGCCATTCTATCCGTCCGAACTCGCCCAGCAGGTCGAAATTTGTTATACCTGCATGTTATTTTTTGTTGTTATCATTTACATAATAAATGTTTCTTGTTTAGAATAGATGAGAATGACTCTGTGTTTGGATATACTTTGATATTAACCAATTAACAATATTAAAAGGGGAAGTAACATACAGTCGACTAACATTGTCTTGTCCTAATAAATTTATTTATGATCTTTGAGTAAATCTAAACATTCTATAAAAAAGCTCTATTAGTTTTCCCAATTTTCTAGTCAAATGCAATTTTTTTCGCTCGTTCGCCACCGAGCGACAGTGACAATGATGATAATAATATAAAAAATTCAATATTTATTGAAAAAAATATTATTGAAATATGTACATGTAATTAATACTTGTAATATGAAGATATATTACTTGTAAAGTGAAAATTGTAATATTATATAAAGGCCATAATGGTTATGTCACAATGTGCGCCGGCGCTGCAGACGGCACAGTGAAACCACAGTCTACTAATCCATACAGTCGTCTAACGAAGGCCTCTAGACAAGGCAATCGTGCGGTGAGTGTGCAGAGAGATGCGAACGACTATTACATACATACTTTTATATGATACTAGCGACTCACCCTCACTTTGCCCGGGTTCGTCCCTACGTATGTATGTACGTTTAAACGGTTGGTATGCAAAGGATAGACTATACATATACACATAGGTATAAAAAAGTAAGTTATAGGATATAATGATTTTCTTTGTCCTTAACTTGAGAAATGATTTGTTCTTCATACAAACTTTCAAGCCCTATTTCACTCCTTTCAAATTCCATTTTTGGGACAAAAAGTATCCTATGTCCTCCAAGGTACCATCCTCATCTATACTAAACTTCATCAAAATTTGATCAGCGGTTTAGGCGTAAAAACGTAACAGACAGAGTTATTTTCGCAGTTATGATTGACGGGTATAACTGTAACTTCGAAATCGTTTGCCATTATTCATATAGTTCACTGAGTTTTAAAATAAATAACCTATTAAATGTGTATCTATAAATAGAAATTTCAATTTAGCTATCTTATTTATACAGAAAGCATTAGTAAAAAACGAAGGTCGCACATAATAACTTATAATGCTCAAGCTTAGTGTAAAAAACAAAACAAATGATGTATTTTAGTTATTTGGCACCAATTCGACATCTGTTTTGATAGACTATACTTAGTTTTTTTATTTTAGTTTTTTTTATGACAAAGCGTCACAAAACTACATAAAAAATCAAGGCGAAACATCCAAATATGACAGCTATAGCTAAATAACGATACTCCTTACCTAATATCTTCACTAATAAGGGCTGTGCTGTAGAGTGAGCGAGTAAAACTGTACACAGAGCTATGATTCTTGTGAGAGGAGTTCGTTTAGCTCGAGGCAACACGCGTAGCGCTCGCATCGGGATGCTGAGGCCGGTGAGCGACGCCGCGTGCAAATATAGTATTAGAAACGCCTCCAGTGTCGCTCCGGCCCAACCGAGTTTAGATAGTGATGCGATTCCGAGCGTGAATTGCTGAAAATCGATATTGATATTATACATTTTGTCATTTAGGTCTAAAAAAATACTAAGTAATGTATACTAAACGCCACAAAAAGATTATTATTTAATCAGAAACTGTTAGCACGGTGGAATGGTCTGGATATTTGACAAAATATCATTGATTTTGGGCAATTAAAAATATATTGTAGTATTTTTAGATATTATAGAAATACCTAAATAATCGTACGAGCCGACTTACAACTAAAAATATAAAACATACAGTTTAAAAAAATAATAATAATAATTAAAACTTCACATAGGTACACCATGAATCACACGACGACTTTTACATATTTCTTCAAAATCAATTTTGTATTTTAACTATGTTTGATATAACAATAATCAGCACATAACTATCTTATTTTACTAACCCTTGTACTTAGTGGTAAAGCTTTAATCCCGATGAGCAGCTCTAGGGTGTTCTGCAGCACCATGAGCACCGTTATGGTGGTGAGCGCGAGGAGGAGCAACATGGCCAGCGGGTACACAACGTTACGTTGCAGTGATGATGTCTTCCTTTGGTTCTCTACTTGCTGGAAATCGAATAAGTAAATTGGTCATACTAAGAAATTATATTCGTTTCAAATTGTAATTTTACAATAAACATTATACATGTAGGTATTGATAAAATTTACTAACAAACGTGTTTCATCCACAAAAACTAGTTTAATAATCAGCATTGCATAACTGGATATATCATATATATATATATATATATATATATATATATATATATATATATATATATATATATATATTGAAATGCGTAATATTTAAGTTACCTATGTTAAAATATTTAAGTGTAAAACGTTAAACAATCATCATTTATCCGCAAATGCGCAACTCGTTACGCATTAATTATTCACAGAGCGCGATGAAAGTTTGATAAATGTTAATAATACATTTGTCACAATTATAATTCTAACTAGCGACTCCCCCTTGCTTCGCTCGGGGTTGTCCCTAGGTACGTTTTAACGGTTAGTATGAAAAAGATAGACTATGTATATACATAGATATGATAAGTTGTTGTGAATTGTATTAATTATTATTCTAACGTGTTTCCCCGTGGGAATGAGATAATCTCCCGCTGTAAGTAGCCTATGTCACTCTCCAGCCCTCTAAGTATCTCCACACAAAAAAATCACGGTAATCTGTAACTTTCTTTTGACGTGAAAAAAGGACAAACAAACACACTTTTGATTTATAACATTATCTATACTAATATTATAAAGAGGTAAAGTTTGTGAATTTGTGACGTTGTAGAGGGTAATCTCTGGATCTACTGAACCGATTTAGATGAAATTTGGTAAAAAGATAGATTGAGACCCTGGGAAGGATACTTTTTATCCCAGAAATCACCTCTTAAGGAGGTGAAAATGGGGTTGAAAGTTTGTATTGGGAATCAAGCTAGGGACGAACCCGAGCGAAGCGAGGGTGAGTCGCTAGTATATAATAAGGATATAATACAAAAATAAGTAATTATAATATAGAAGGAAAAAATAATATAATTTATTACAAAAAATAAATGCAGAGTATAAAATAAATACCTACTATTTAACCATTCAAACTTTTAAGAAATAATTTAATTATTACATTTAAATAGCCAGTCCAAATCCAGGCTATAGTGATTACATCGGTATGGACAAAAGAGTGATATATGGCGTTACTTATCCCGGAATATCAAACGAATTCCGTGGGATGTTTTTATATTGCACAAAAACTACAGAAAGACTTACATTGTGTATGTTTATTGCATAATACATATTATATCCATGCATAGGTACCTTTCTCATGGCAACAACTCTCTGGAGCCTCTCGTTTAATCCAGCTTGTAGAGCTCCGTTTTTTAGTCTCAAGAGTGGGGTATCCTTTCCTTCAGATGACGATTTTTTCTCCTTTAAATTAGAAATGTCCGGATTCACAGGGGCTGATATATCACCTCTATCTGGATACATTGGTTCTGGTGATATGTATCCAACACCTAAAAATTAAACAAAATAAATAATAATACATATAAATAACTAGTAAAGTGCATTGTTTATCCGTTTAATATAATTTCCATAACATCTTTAGGACGGTAGTTATTATTTTTTTAACCGACGAAAAAAGGAGGTTCTCAACTCGACACGTATATTTTGTTTTTTTTATGTGTGACCACGTTTTTATTAGATAGAGTAAACCTCAAAGATGGTCCCACTTTAATTTAAAAAAAAACCACCTACAGTAAGTGTATATAATAGGGGTGATTGATTTTTCACCTGATTAATTTTTAAAATACTTTTTTCTTTTTTTGCTACTATGACTACACTTAAAATGGAAAAACAACTGAAAAAAAATCTACCTCATAAAAAAAGGAAAAACTAACTGAATGGTAGTTTTCATTTACTATAGATACCTAATCAGATATTTTCCAAGTCGGTGCCAGCCGATACAAATTAAACTTCGAAAATATTATTTATTATTTTATCTTCAGTATATTATTTAGCTTACACATAGTATTACTAAGTTTTTTTTGTCAGGTGACTAGGTACAGCTTAAGCTCCGCGTATTGAGCCACTATATTGCGAAAGGGACCTACTTAAGTGTATGTGAACAAAAAATAGTTGGCAATATACACATGACCGCGCAACAAATATATCACTTAATTATCTTCTCCTATTTAATAGGTAGCCCTGTAATGCTATGAGATTGCCAGTAAAAATTTGTTAATTAATAAAATATAGTAGGTAATTCGACTTCGATAAAAAAAATGTTAGTTCATCCACTAGCGATTATTTTTTGGTGAAATGTACATATGCGGTATGTACTAAGGTATTGAATATACGAGTACCTACCTTTTAACGTGCGATATATTGATATTTATAAGTCCGAGTTATAAAATATTATGTATTTTTATTACGTTATCGGCGTGCGAAACTCTGGAGGGAGTAGGGACTCTAAAAGTAGGTACCTACCTACTTACCTAATTATAATAAAAACCATATTGATAACCAGATTGGGTTACTGAAATTATGTAAATAAAAATATCTATATATAAATAAAAATGAATCACTGAAATCAGTACGTACGTACGCGCATAACTTCCGATCGACTGCACCAAATTGTTTTTTTTTTGTATTTGTTATTTATTTATATATTGCCAGGACAAGTTTTATATAGAAGAATTAAAAGATTTTTTTTTACTAAAATAAGATTTTTTTAAATCTCATTATCCGATTTAGATGAAATTTGGTAAGATAGTTTGAAACCTTTGGAAGGTCAAAGGATACTTTTTATCCAGGAAATCATCCCTTAAGGGGGTGAAATGGGGATGAAAGTTTGTATTGGGAGGCAAGCTAGGGACGAACCCGAGCGAAACGAAGGAGAGTCGCTAGTAGTAATATAAATTAAATAACAATTACCAGAATAATTTGGTCATAATGCGATATTTAATTGTACCACTTATCTTTTAAAGTCTATAGGATATATGATAATTGCTAAAAATTAACTAATTATAGCTAATTTATTTAAGTATTGCTTGGCTACGTGATTTTAAAATATTATATGTTTGTATCACCTACCTTTGGTTTATTTATATATTTAAAAAGTAAGAGCAAAAGGAATTGCGAAACTATCTTAATAAAAACAGTAAACAATGACGTGCTGTGCATATGTTGCCTTTAATGAATCCTGGTGCCAAGGTCTGATAGTCAACGTTATCGGCCAATAAACTTGGGACGAAGATTTTCTGTTTTACTCAACTTTTGTTGTGTAGTATTGTATTACTGGTGTTAGAATGAATCGTAAAGTCTAGTCGTAAAGTGTCCGTACAATTTGCATTTCGTTCGCGAGAGAAAGCGCCGGAAAACCAAAGAAGCTCACTTATAATAAAAAGAAATTTATACTTTTCCTTTGTTCTATCCTCTGTCCTATCAATGATAGATTAATCCGGCCCAACCGACAGAAACACGAGATTTTCAAATAACTATGAGCTCTATATAATATGTACCTACTAACGGTTACTTGGCTGTAGTTATGGTACAACGCGAGGAAGCATTTTGGAAATTTCAAACAGATAGGTATACCATGTACAGATTTTAATCTATATTCATAAACATATTTTTATTCATTTTATTTCATATTCATTTTTATTTTGTGAATAAAAAACATGATCTAATAATAACCTTTTTCAACATTTTTATATAACAATCTACAACATAGTTCTTGCTTTCTTTATTACTTATTCAATATCATTATTTCTAAATAATATAACTAATTGGACTATTGTCTCTACCGTCTGGATTTTCTTTATCGCACGTTTGAAGCAAACAAAAGATCTTTGTTAGCAGTAATGTCACATAACTAATTTAACGTTCATTAACATAACTACCGGATAGCATACTTAAAAGAGTATTAGTCTCTATATTTGTTAAGTTTATTATGAAGGGAGATAAGTCTTAGAATAGAAGCATACAAATTATGTAAGAACGAAAAAAAGATGCTATAGACTTCCAATAATTGGATAAAACAAATGATACGATACTTTAATAAAGTAATTTAATTTATTCACAATTACATACGTACAATTCTCTATATAATGATTTAAAATTCGGCGTAAATCTAAGAAATAAGTATTTTGAATTAAGGTAGATAATTGTCCGGAGGCTTGTAAAATATCGCGTTAGAAGCTTTTTGAAAGTTTTCTGGTTTTCTCTTGTAAATATATATATTTTGTAGATATAAAGAATTACCATCTCGATCCAATAGAGTCAGGTGTTACAAGTTTGTGTTTGCTGGTTTTAATGTTGTGTCACACTTTTTGAGAAAATTATTAATATTTTTGCATTTGTGGATGAAAGAAATATTCGGCCTAGTTCTCGTAATAAATAAGTATACGATTATGTAAATTAGTTACCCCAAATTGAATATGTTAAAAATGCTCGTCACGTAGAGTACTAACTGTACGAAGGTCGTGTCAATATGAAGGTCGGCATAACTAATAATTATTATATACAAACCTAATGCATACTGTATAGTGTGCGAACGTGAAATCTTTTTGTATATTAAATAAAATATTTTATTTTGCCCATAAGTTTTTCTAGAATCTATCAAACGATTAGAGGAAGGTTAACAATGAATCTTAACTACAATATACCTATCTACCTACACAAAAATTATGCTGTTCATACCTAGGTTTATTTTTCGATTATCGGGCTTATATTTCGATTTAATGAAAGGAATTCGAATGAAATTATTTAAACATTTGTTCTGATAAACTATGTAGTTGCTTTTCGAATAAAATAATGCATTTAATAACATTTTTCTATAAACATTAGCTAACAAATAACACGAGCGAAATTTAATCGTGTCATTTAGGTACATGTAATTTTTCTTTTTACGAATAATTTTTCTTCCGTTAATCGACAGTGCTAATTTTAAATAACAAAAACGTTACGCATGCGAACATAAAGTACATATAAATATTAATTTTCTTGCTATATTTAAAAAAGTGTCCGCCAACCCGCACTTGACCAGCGTGGTGGACTATGACCTAATACCCCCGTATTGAAGGGAGGCCCGTGCCCAGCAGTGGGACGTTAAAAAGAGCTGTACATTTTTTTTCGTAGTGAAACACACCTAACTCGAACTCTACTATATAACCACATATCAAATATAATTAGATAGATTTTTAGAGCACCTTGGAAAATAAATATATGTACACAAATATTTAATGCATATTTGAAACTGGTTTTACAGGACCATAATATAAAAATAGGAAAGACATTTTGGTTTCGGTTTTGGCCAACACTAAAACCAAAATAGCGTTCAGTTCAAATAAAACTTTGCAGACATCAAATAATAATGAAGCCAATAATACGTTGATCTAACAATCATTAATCACAATTAAAAGAGAAGTTTGACGTTTAATTTCATTATAATTTCACTGCGTCATTAGAACAATACCTTTTGTTTCAAGAATACGGTGAACAAAAAAAAGTTTTATTAAAATTCCTTACCCGTCGCCAGTGAGTTGTTAATTCGTCGCCGTATGGTGTTCTCTTCAAACGAGTAGACATAATACTCTTCATTGAGATCCCTTAGAAACTGTGGCTTTACAAGTACGCCACCCACCACGCCGAACAATCTCACGAATCCCAGTGGTGTGAAAACTGCAAAAACAAGGCCAATTAGTTATTTGTTCATGTAAAATGTAAATTTTACCATACACTTGTGCTTATTTTTATTGAATATTTAATACTATCCGATAAAGTGTGAGTCAGAATCGCGCGCACGTGCTACAACCCAATATTTTTATATTCTGCATTTATCAATAACTATAAATCACCTAAGTACGCGAGCCCTTGTTATAGTTGACCAGTTTTATTATTTAAAGCTTCTACTCTAGTGTCAGCACTATTATTTTACCGATGCTTATCTATTTACTCGCTGTACCCTAATTTTATTACTTGTTGCTTTATTATTATGTGTTAGGCGATATATTAAAACATTACAAACTTTCACCTGCCATCTACGGTTCAAAGAATAATTCAATTCTTTTGTTCAAAATACCATTGCATTTTAAAAGTATGAAAGACGGACACATATACAGCGTAGGTTAGGTACGCAGTAAAAGGGTTTTGTCTTGACCCTTTAGATACGAAACCCTAAGGTAGTCTTTCGAGAAGTAATATTTTTAATATTTCAATGTATCACCTTGAAAAACATAATTTTTAAATTATCATTGTGTTTACTATAACCTGTAAGTTTCCATATGAAAGACTTGCTAATTCTAATTTTAAAAATATACCTAATCTATATATATAAAAATGAATCACCGAAATGTATGTACGCGCATAACTTCCGATCGACTGCACCAAATTGAATAATTCTTTTTTTTATGTTTGTTATTGTCAGGACAAGTTTTGTAAAGAAGAAAATTAGAAGAATTTTTTTAGTAAATTAACTTTTTTTTTAAAGCTCATGATATGAAAAGTGAGTGAGTGAAATAGTTTTTATCCCGGAAATCATCCCTTATGGGGGTAAGAATAAGGATGACAGATTGTATGGGGAAGCAAGCTATGGACGAACCCGAGCGAATCGAGGGTGAGTCGCCAGTAAGTTATATCTAGGTATATCTCGCGTAACGTTTGATACCTTCGATCAACAAAGTTTGATACAGCTAAAGATCCATTTTTTATTATTTTTTTTATTATTTCAACAAATGCGTATATTATCTATTAATTATAAAAACTTATACATGATACTAGGTAGGAAAGTTGTTGAGTTCAAATACGAAATGTCAAATATAAAGTAAATTGTTATACCTATACGGGTTTATCTTTTTTTAATTACAATTGGTAATTTATTTCCACATGAGTATTATTTAAATACATACACTGTTGCGTCATATAAGTACTCGTACATTCGTTTCCTTACTATTTACTTTGGACTGTGGAAAGTAGGCACGCCTATGTAAACGGACAAGTCAAAGTCTAACAAGACACCATAACAAACAAGAAGTTCTAGACTAGATTGCATAATATGGTCTTTCTTTCCTTTAAATTGGAAAATCTTAGTTACAAATGAATTAAAACGTAGAAATTTTTTAAGCGATGCGGTAAAAAGATGAATTCTAAAAGCTTAGTGAAAACATTAAAAAAAAATTATCGGTCAAAAATAAAAATCCACTATTTCTTTAATTAATATTGATCCATAAATGCGTAATCAAAAATTAAAAAAATATGTAATGTTTGTCAACTCATTTAATATGTAAAAATTATTTCAAAATAACCAACAACACCTATAGAGTATAGATGTAGTTTTTCATGCACCTTGACAACCGTATCTATTTATCAGGTTGCGTCAATACAACACACAATAGACACCGGGATTGTTTACACGAACTAGCCTTTTAGAAATAATATAAAATCGTACACCATGTTAGCTAATCCAGCTTTGAAGAATCGTAAGCAGGTAGAATTAAACGAAGAATGGAATAATTTCATGAAAAGAATAGGTGAGGTGTCAGGCTTAGTGAGGGATATGGCGAGCGGTGACAAAGAAAAGTCGGATGCGGCAAAACATATGGCTGATCAGATCTTGGAGGGAAAAGTGTTGTTAGAAGAAGATGTAAAAATTACAGTCAAAGATGATCGTACAGTGATAAATAAAAAAGCCTTTCAGTCCCACGACTTAAAAGATAAAGTGAGTAGCTACAAAATACAAATATATTACGAATTCATCACCTTAAAAGTAAATAAAATCTTTAATATTTAAATACATTATGTATTTATTTTATCAATATAAGTTGATATAACGAGACAAAAATGTTTTGCAAATAGGAAGGATATGCAAGTACATATACCTCTTTCAGTCCCACGACTTAAAAGATAAAGTGAGTAGCTACAAAATACAAATATATTACGAATTCATCACCTTAAAAGTAAATAAAATCTTTAATATTTAAATACATTATGTATTTATTTTATCAATATAAGTTGATATAACGAGACAAAAATGTTTTGCAAATAGGAAGGATATGCAAGTACATATACCTATGTGAATTATGAGTCGGGTTATCAGTGTTCGTTGTCATAACGTGCATAGCCAACAACTAGAACCTACCATTGCGCATAAGTTATTTGTAGACTTCACTAACTAAATGAACTTATCGCATTTGAATGGTATGTCAAGATAGTTTCTAATGTGTTCAACTCCGTGCAGTAAGCTATTAATTATAATTGTAAGCTGCTTATGAATTTGGGGAAATATTTATATTAATATAAACATTTCCCCAAACTGAATAACAATACCTATCATATGCGTAAGCAAGTTGTTCAGTTTATAGCATAATATTGGTATTAACAATATACAAACAAGGTTAAATCAAGAAAAGAAGTACCATAGAGTGCAATATTTCTTGTTTTTAACACGTTTTTATTAGTTTCACCTGTATCTATGTAACGGAATCATTGAACGTGATTTTCACCCACTTCAAAACTTCAGATTGAACTGAGACTTCGCACATTTAACAAGGACCGATGACAATACAATAATTTATTAAAAAAAAAATAAAAAAACACGCGGTCATAACAGATCAAACTAAAAAATGTAAAATAAATTATAGTTTAAAAAAGTAAAAATCACGCTTTAATGACGAACCGAACTAAAAAGTAAAAAAATATTTTTTGTATAAGAATAAAGTGATTAACGAGAAAATTAATGTTATTGTAAAAAAACGTGGGGTGCTCGATATCAGTTGTTATAAATATTCCATTGGTACGATGACTAAAAGTAGAGTTAGTATAAAAATATTATTGTACAAAGCACCCCACGCTTTTTTCACAATAACATCAATTTTCTCGTTAATCACATTATTCTTATACCTACTAAAAGTCATTTTATTACTTTTTAGTTCGGTTCATCATTAAAGCGGTTTTTTTAGGTTTTTCATTAGATTCTGACGCTATCTAAAAATACAGATAAGTTATTTTATTGAAAATAGGCCATTTTGTATATTGATCTTATCTACAAAACCAATTGTTCGATATAAAAATAATCTGAACACAAAGCTATTTTACCGGTGAAAGCAATTTGGCTCGTGCACTGCTATAAATATCCGTTCAAATGTGTTCTATTTATGAATTGAATAACTGATAAGTCTTGACAAGATAAGTTTAAATTGGTACACATGTACATTGTACATTGTTCAAACTTCTACAATGGTTCAAACGTGATGGTTTTCTTATTACTAATTAATTAATTATTATATTAATAACAATAAATATTTTAAAAGTAGATGAATTTTATAAAACAAAGCCAAATTCCATTCGTATACACGTGTATTATATTTTTATCCTATGTTTATAAGTATAAATTATTATAATTTATATTTTATTACATTGGATAAAAATACATACATACATAGTACATTTTACAACGTGCCAAAAAAATTAAATTTAATAATACGAACGATAGCAGATAAATTCAGTAGATAAAATTCTATGATTTAATTCGAATAACTGCATTCTAGAACCTAGATAGCATAATCTAAACAGAACAGTTACCAAGCTGTTGAATGTTGCACAATTCTCGCGCATATTTAACGTTTTGAGAATTCCACTACGATATTCCCACTTCAGTATAGAATTATTCTCGTTACCTCTTTTTACTGCAGATTATTTGAGTTGTACATTGCTAAAACTATGCGGTGCATATCTAGATCTATAATAAAATTGTAACTAAGTCGAATCTGTACATTAAATATTTTTTGGAAAATCTAATTGAAATAGACATTATTATCGATACAGAGTCCGAATCTATAGTTTTTAGAATTTTTGTCTGTCTGTCTGTCTGTTACCGCATCACGAGAGAACCACTGGACAGATTTTGATGAAATTTAATATGGTGATAGCTGGTTATCCGGGTCAACATATAAGATACTTTTTACCGCGTGAAAATATCTCATTTCTGAGAAAAAATACAAAAACTGCATTGTAAGAGTATACTACTATGTAAAACCTAAGAATTTGGTTTTTGGTCATCGAACGCAGGCGGAGCCGCGGGCAATGCTAATAAAATATAAATAATTGGTATCGAAAAACACTGATAAATGTTTCGCATTTGTCTCTGTCAAAAGTTCTGCACGTACATAAATTCAGCTTGGAGTGGCTATTAAGTATTTACTATTGTATGCTTTTGCATATACAGTTGACTCTGCGTATATGTATAATAATAATTTGTTCTTATAATTTTATATAAATATTTAAATTAATTATATTTACAGAGTGAAATGAATAAGGATGCGTGGATGGCGGAAGTGAGCAAAGACGCAGAACGTCGAGCTTTAGATCGGAAAATTCGTCAAGAAAAAGCTGACACTCTCAAAACCCAAGCAATTAAAGCATTTCGTAGAGGCGAATATGATCGAGCTCTGTCTTACTACAATCGTGCTATAGAACAAATAAAGGACAACCCTATGATGTATTGCGACCGCGCACTGACTAACATAAAACTTGGAAATTTTGATAAGGTAAAACATTTTTATAAAAAATGAACCCAGTGACGACACGTGACGATACCTTACTTAATACTACATATGTTGGTATTGCATTCTATACGAATATTATAAAGTGGTAAAGTTTGTGAATTTGTGACGTTGTAGGGGGTAATCTCTGGATTTACTGAACCGATTTAGATGAAATTTGGTAAGAAGATAATTTGAGACCCTGGGAAGGACATAGCATAGTTTTTATTCCGGAAATCATCCCTTAAAGGGGTGAAAATGGTGATCAAAGTATGTATTGGGAAGCAAGCTATGGACAAACCCGAGCTAAGCCAGGGTGAGTCGCTAGTATATTATATAATACATAGTATGTTATGTCGCTCTGCAATCCAAAACAGAACCTGCATAGCTTGAACAATATATAATATTATATGAATAATACATATAGGATAGTCTTTTGACCTTTATTCATTTACAACCAAATATTTCCCTAGCGTCAGATTACAACAATTGCAATACAACAATTTATCCGAGGTCAATGTATTAAAGCAAACAAAGTTGTTACATCTAATAGGATGGGTACAGTTAGCAAGGACAGGTTTTAGTCGATAATAACCGAAAGCAATACTTACAATGTAGGTAAAACTGTTATCTTTTAGAATAAGTAGCACAAGAGAACAAACAATTAACGTATTCCGTTCCATGGCATGTGTAATAAATAATTTCATCATAGCTAAATTAAACGTAATGAAATATTCATAAATATAAATCGATTGAATTGCATCCAAGAATCACCAATGATAGCTGTAGGTACTATCTACTAAATAATTTTAAGCATAGAAAGTTCACACACAAACAAACCAGTTATGTTAGTAAATTCAACACGAAATAAAAACAACGATCCAGGAATTATTAAGTTGGAATTTAGTGTCATGACTAAAGAGCGGTAAATTTACCATGTATTCATACAAATTAGTATGTAAATATATGTACCTAAAGACAAGAAAAATATGTATTGCAGTATGATAACATCTTTTGTATTCATAGGTGTTTAATGACTGCGAATGGGCACTGCGCTTGAATGAGAACAGCTTCAAAGCTCGTCTATACAAAGCAAAGGCTCACCAAGAATTAGAGGAAAATGATAAATTGGTAGAGTGTAAGAAAGATCTTATTGAAAAGTTTCCTCAACACGAAGAACTTATTGAATATTTTCTCGATAAGAAAGAACATATTATGAATGAAGAAGATAACTAAAAGCAAAAGACACATTTCGATGAATGGGATATGGAAAGATAAAGGCGATTAAAATATGCGATATTAAATATAATTTAGAATTTTAATTTATGTTTCGCTATGAATTTTCTTGATTTCTTAATTTTTGAATAAAAATTAATAAATTACTACATAATAAATTGTGTACAATAACTATTGCATTATCAAATAATCATAGAAAGTTACGAAACATTTTTAGTCTTTATATTATTTTGATAAAGAGCGATAAACGGTATACTTTGATACCGATAATTCACTCAAAATTAACTCAACAACACAAGTAATTACAAATTGATGTATTTATTTTTTTTAAACCACATGACAACATTTTTTTTGTTATATAAAGCTTTACCTCCGGCAGGCGCGGGTCCTATTTATAAATATGTATGTCTGTTGTAAATATAAACACAAAAACTAAACATGATACTAATTTAACACGCATGATCATTATAGGCTAAATTTAAAATCAGGGTCATTGATTGTACTCGGCGACGTAAATAAGCACGAGATGTAAAGGTGGCTGCTGTTTTTGATTTCCGTTTACGCGTCGAGTGTTGTAATTTTATCGAACTCACCTAATAACATCAAAACGCCGACGAAAGATACACAGGAGTATAAGAACGGAAGATACGTCCATAAATCTGTGAACAAAAACATAATAATTAATAAGGAGATAGATTAAATAAACAAAACCGTAGGATTTAGCAGGATATTAAAACACATTACAAGTAAGCCAGTCTACTGAAACAAAATTATTAAAAAAATATTATTAACTAGCGACTCACCTTCGGTTCGCTCGGGTTCGTCTCTAGCTTGCTTCCCCATACAAAATTTCATCCCCATTTTGATCCCTTTAAGGGATGATTTCCGGGATATAAAATATCCTATGCCCTTCCCAGGGTCTCAAACTATCTTTCATCTAAATCGGTTTAGTAGATCCAGAGATTACCCCCTACAACGTCACAAACTCACAATTCACAAACTTTACCTCGTTATATATTAATTATGTACAGTAAAAAATAAAAATTACTTATATCAATTCTGACAGTGCCAACTCCTAAAGTCATACTTGAAAGAAAAATTATTCTTATAAGTGTAATAATTTATATTATTATAAGTTTAATCCCACTATTAAATTATAAATATGAGAGTTTGTGAGGATGTATAAATGTCTGGATGTATACATTAATAGATGTTTGTTACTTTTTCACACAAAAACTACTGAATGGATTTTAATGAAACTTTATAATAATATAGCTTCTACATCAGAATAACACATACGCTACTTTTTATCCCGGAAAAATATACGGTTACCGTGGGATAGATTTGTTATCGTTTTTCTAGAGGCGAACCGGAGCGAAGCGTGGGTGAGCCGCTAGTACTATATATTTTTATTGGGGAAACAAACAGTGTTTACAAATGTTACAAAATATACAATAGTTTATATAAATCGTACATAGACCAATAAAATTTCCACTGATACGTGAATCATATCGATATTATAGCTGACATGGTTTAAAACTCATTAACAAGAATTAAATTAAAAAGCTTTGTTTCAAGGGCATTCTCATCAACTAATAGACATTGAAAAAATGATAATATCGGATATTCGATAGATCTAGTATATATTATAAATAGGTATTTCTCGTTAGCAGTTTTTTTGTAATTTTTTAATAAACATGGTACGAAATTAATTGGTGGATTCACACTTCAGCTTTTCCTAGTTTATACCTTATTCATTTTGCAAGAAAATATAGGAATTATTTTTGTATAATTTCTCATTTCATCAAATACAATTGTTTTTTCCGGTGTTCTTTTAATATAATCAACTAAAATACACTAGAAAAACGATAATATCTGTTAAATGGATTTAAAAGTTAAGTATTTTACGATGTAGACAAAAATTATGCAGCACTATTTCTAAGGTGAAGCAACATCGAAGAAAAGTGTGCTGTAGCGCTTACGTACATATATAGAGTTAGCACTCCAAGACCTCCACTCATAGGAGTTATCAAACCAGCTTGATTCAATATTCAATTAGAGTAAGTTCCACATATACCTATATATATATATATATATATATATATATATATATATATATATATATATATATGCGTGTTAACGCAGCAGCAGTTTGTATATCGACCTATTTACATATTGTATAATTACAATTCACGGTTAGTAGATCAGGTACGTTTATCTAAACATTGGCCAAGAAACAATAGTGGTTCGCATCCAACTCCACAGTCAATTAAGCACAAATAACACGGAATCACAATTGGACAGTTTACTATGCATTCAGTCACGTGAGCATTCTCGGCATTGTTCTTATGACCCTAGTTAGAACTACATCCTGTATGCTACGTTGCTTTTTTGGAAAAAATATTTAAGAATGTATCTATTATTTAAAAATAATCATTTTAAATTATTTGGTAATCGTCTTATTTTAAATAATTGTTTCTTTTTCCAATATACTTTGTAATATATAACACATTTTTATATACCAGCTTTATTTTCCTCCAAATGTGAGGTAGTGAAAAATAAAACAATAGGGATATATTAAAAACCCAGGATAGGAGATATAAGATTTCATTTAAATCTGTTGAATAATTATAGAGTGCAGAAGCAACTCGCAAACTTTTGAATTCATAATATTATTGGTGTCAAACAAATGCTGATAAAAAATCATTTAACTATTGAAAGAAGAAACTTGTTTTGAGTTCGTTTAACTTTTAATGTATTGTATGCATAATTTTAGAAACCAGTCGTTCAGACAATATGTCAATATGTTTGATTTGACTTTTGTAATTTACAAGTTACAAGGAAATAGGAATTAATTTCAAGCATCCATTTAATAATATTAAATAATGTCTTCGTGATGTGAGGTTTGTTTTGTATTTATTGTAAAAGAATGTAAATTTATATTATGTTAAATATTTCAAGTTATTTTGTGCAAAAATTTCAATTTTTTTTCTATACATATAAATACAAGTAGTTTTATCAATCTGTACATAAAAAAAATTAAATTATTTAAATGGATAAAAATATTAAAATAATACTTTTTTAGTTAAATAAATAAGAAGCAAGTTCATTTATTATTGAGTAAAATTTATATACACACTTACTTAGCAGAGCATCGAGACTGGATCTGTCCCCTTCAAGCCATGCAGATATAACATAAGCATGGCCTAGCATAGCTATGCCCAGTAGAGCCAACACAACAAAAGTCTCATATACACGTCCCTTCAAACCTCGGCAGCCTGGGAATCCAGTGGATTCCGAAAATAAGTATGCAAACGGTAGGAACACAAACAATGACAAGTTTGAAAATAAAAATACATGATTCCATAGCCCTAAAACAAGAACATACAATATTATTATAAGCAATTATCACAGTAGCATAATCCAATATATATCTTGTTTTTATTTAACAATGTAACCTTGGTTCAAAAAATCAAATAGTACACTTTTATATCAGTATACAAGCTCAAAGGTCGCACTTTCATGGGGTGTGTTTATTTTGCCCACAATGTTAAAAGTATTTAATATGGATAAATTTAAGCATAATTTATAAGAAGTTTATCTTTATCTCAAAAAATAATAAACCTATAAAATTACCTTGTATTAATGAGCTATTTAACCATTTAACATAGTAGCTATTGGGGTATAATATGAGCACTTCATTGCTGACTATTGATACAGGCAGCAACAGTGCTGAACCCAATGATACAGCAAGGGCAAATGTACATAGCCAGAGGCTTATTCGGTACACCTTTACCTCATCTTCATCGGCAGTAGAATAATCTTCAATATCACGTCGACGAAATTTCTCGATCAACATGAACGAGAAGAGGTACAGCAAAATGAATAAGAGCAGGAATATCTACAATAATATTATGTTTATATTATAATCTGTAAATAGTACGTGTGAATTCTTTAAATCTAAATCCTTATATCGTGAAAAATACTTACAATCTGCTCCCGAACATTATTGTGGAATATCTGCTCTCGCAAATCAGCCTCTTCATCATCCATTGTCTTTTAAAAGATTTGTTCTATCTTTTAATAGATTTTTCTTTTTTGTATTTACCGTAGAAATTGCACTTCATTTTCACAAATTAAACCATCCTCCGTTTCATACACAAAATACGATGTCACAATTATTTACGAAATTATTTTTCTATCATAACAATATCGCTTGAAATTTATTTTGAGTTTCGATTATTTAATATAAATCATTATTTTATTCGTACAATACACTGGCAATAGGCAAATGATGTGAAAACTGAAAACACGACTAATTTTTTTGGATCAGCTGAAACGAATACAGATTATCAATATATATAACAAGCTGCAACATAATTTTAGTGACTAGATTTGATTCTTACAATATTTACGTGAAGATAAAATATTTAACCTTGAATGTGTTACTCTGCTCTTCTAAGTGTTTTCTTCTCTTTCTAAATTATTTTGGCCTGGACAACAAACGGAGATCAGAGAATTGACTAATCGTAATAAAGTAAAAACAATTCAAATTTTTCAAATGTTTAACATAATAAAAACTGGTATTATATATTTTATATTAATAAATTATTACCAAGTAGAATCTAATACGAAAAAAGGTGAAAGACTTAAAAAAATGCACCAAAATATCAATTAATTATATATAAAAGTATTTCGCATTTGCGAAACGTTTTTTTAATTCATTTATAATAAAACCTGTTTCTTTCATACTTAAATATATATCTTATTACTCATATACTTGAGGGTAAGCTTAGAGTACACATATGATGATAAGATAGAGAGCGCGCGCACCACTCGCTGTCCAATACGCGAAACGTAAGCAGATGTTCTATACACACCAATTGATACATACTCATAGATTAAGCGGTTGAATTGTGATGCGCCTAGTAAAACTTTTAGTATTTAATTAAAAAAGAAGTATATTAACATAAACTACATTTATTCAGGCACATATATTATATAGACTTTATTATCTAAAATTACAGTATTTCAAATTAATATCTTTCATTTGTAATAATAGTGTTAATATTTTGTATTTTTTTTTAAATAATAGCAAACTAAATTAAAAGTATATATTATTCTCTTTAAATTTTCACATTCCATAATTATATAATAATTACACTGCGGGACTTAAACGCAGACTACGGAAATTATAGGTGAATTCACGCGTTTAAATCCCGTAATGTAATTATTACATAACTATTATTCTTAATTAATTTAAACATTTTTAATTTTTTAAATTTCACATAGAACAATAATGTGGCTTGAATAATTAATATATTTTTTTACACTAAATAAAGTTACTAATTAATAAAGTTTTCTAAAAAAATTGTAATAATTATATTAAATAACAGCTAAAATGAAATAAATAATATTCCATATAAGCAATTATAAAACTTATTAGAATTATAAAAACATTAAAATTAACTATTACTGTTAGGTACTTTGGTGCCATTAAAATTTAAAGGTTTTATTTTTGACAAATACAAAGGTTCTTAATTTATAATACTACTAACAGACCCCGCGGCTTCCCTCTCTCTAAAACTACAAAAAAAACTAAAAAGGTAGGTTTCATTCAAACTTTCATGTCTCATTCATCATAATTTTGTTAAAATCAGCGTTTTCTGATTAAAGTATTATTTACCGATGAAAAGAAATATCTTTGTTCGTTTTAGTTTGCTTTCGTAAATCATTATTACAGATGTCTGATGAATGATGAATCATGATTACATAAATCCAAATAAATACCAACAAGAGAAACAATCACCTCACTATTTCGAGACTGTTCATACCTGTGCTTACAGTTCACACTGGCTAGCGCGCGATCTATAGCTTAAGTATACTCTAAGTACTAGCCACTAGTATTCTTATGGGTCGTAGTATTTTTTTAAAATGATTTACTCTTTAAAGTAACTATCTATATAAAAATATAAAATATGGGAAAATCTATTTACATTCGAAAATAATTCTGCGGTTTAAGATACGGAAGAGAAAAAACAAGGGAAGTGCTAAGTAAGCGTGCCGTGGTGCGAGCGTCACAAATAGGCGTACCAACTAATAAGTATCAACGTATATGTCATCATTGGTTAGACTATGGAAATATATTAATATGTCAATGTCAATGTCACACTCACCTTTGATTTAAAATTGCATCTTTATTTTCTGAAATCTCAAATCTTTTTAAAAATTTTGCTTTTTTAACACAACATTCTTTGGAATAAGATTTTATGGATAATGATTATTTAAACTTGACCTTATAGATATAGCGAGTATATAAGTTTTGAACTATTAAAACTGGCAAACATTTAATATTGTTTTTTTATGGACAAGTTAACACATGTTTAGTTATTACTTATTAACATAACATAAAAGAATTAAGAAATGTTTACAATACAAGTCAATGTTTAAAAATGTCATTCTCACTAAAAGATGAAATTATAAATAAAAGTTCAAAAACATTTAAGTCAAGTAAGAAACTTTTACTGTATTTATTTGAATTACACAGCTGATGCTTTTTAATATTTTTTCATTTAATATCAATATTTTTAATTTCAGATAAAACAGACATAAAGGCAGAGTTTTCAGTTAGAATAGTAGTTTGTGATCACTACATAACTAGGCCCATACCAGGAATAGATGTAATTTATTCAGAATTTAGGGGAACAGATATAAAACAGGTAAAAACAATGCAATAGATATTAAATATATAGAAGGCAATTTAATAATATTAATAATTGATTTAATTTTAATAAAAAAATCAGTATTCAATATTTATTAATTATTATGTAAATAAATTCAAGGGCCAATTTTTTGAAAAAATTACAAATTAATTTAAATTTATTAAGATATATAATATATTATGTATAAACGTAGTATTACAATAATTTATGGAATTCTGCCCGATTTGTTGACATTTATGATTACTGCTCCATTCCCTTAGGTAGTAGCATATAGCATTTCTCAATATCGGGCTTTCTAATGCAAAAAGAATTTTTCAAATCGGATTGGTAGTTCTTGAGTAATCTCAGGCAATGGATTCAAACAAACAATCAAACAAACTGTACCTCTTTATAATATGAGTATAGATTTATAACTTAATATTATAGTTTAAATTTATATTTGTTATATTTTAGGTACCAATATTACGTATATTTGGACCAACACCTGAAGGTAACAAGGCTTGCTTACATGTACATGGGGTATTTCCTTATTTTTACTTACCATGTCCTACACCAAATCCAGAACCTCAATTTTTATATCAAGTAAGTTTAATAGGAAATTACATTTTTTAATTTATTGTCTCACTTTAATTGTAATATTTCAATGATCATGATAGTTCATAATATCATTCATGTGTCAATATAATGAATACAATATATAACACTAGGTATATACAATTACAATATATATGATTAAAATATAATGATTAATCATAAGCCCATTTTTAACTTCTCACTATTAGTCATAGGCTTACCATCAATGCCAGGAGGATCAGGGGATACTCCACCACACTACCAATTTCCTCTAGTTTCTTCGAAAAAGTTATTTCTTTACTGCAAAGTAAGTGGTAATTACGTTAAAATTATTCACACATAAAATATCAGAGGTCTAGACAGAGTTGAACTTGCATGACTGTCGTGTGTGAATCACTTTTAATATGATTACCAGATGATAACAAAACAGATTGTTGATTTTTAATATTGGTATGTATTAGCAATGTGGGCTATAGTCATGGTCTGAAATATCTTTTCTTTTCTTATATAATAAAATATCATTTCTTCACCTAATACGTAATATGTACCTACATAATTTTCTATTTTTTTTTCTCAGATTGCAGCCAGTCTCGACAAAGCTTTAAATATTGCTTTAAAACAAGCGTCATCGTCAAATCAACATGTATACAAAATAAGTTTAGTAAAAGGATTGTGAGTAATACTTTTGTAAGAGTTTATGCATATTTTTGTAGGATTTGTATTGTAAGGGTTCCATACCTCAAAAGGAATCAAGAGACCCTTATATGATCACTGGTGAATCTGTCTGTCTATCACACTATCTATATATCTTATTTATAGGGAATCTAAACGAATGGATTTTAATTTTAAAGGTTGATTTTCTTGTTCATCATAGAACATAAAAATCTAAGTTTTTAGCAAAAAAATTTGTGTGATATAGAAAATGAAAAAAAGAGGAGATATCTTTTTTGTAGTTCACATAATTATTAAATGCATATTATTAAAAAAAAATATAGCCAATACTCCTGTCTTATCTCGGAAACTATTAAGCCTATAATTGGGAATAAAGAAATATGTATACCCCAGAAAAAGTCCCTGTTTCTAATGTTATAATTCGATAGTGCACGAAAACATTTTTCGGTCTGCGAACGTTCGACAAGCTTTGTTTTAGAGCGGCTATTACTTAAAGTAATTTGTCTGCAACTAATTCGTTTTTTTACCAATAACGCGTAGAACTTTTGAAGTCCACTTTGTAGCCATCTGAAGTAGAAATTTGCAATAAAGAGCTATATGAATATTCTAAACAATGAAGATTTGGCCTCAAATCACAAAAGTCTACTAAATATACATTAATTAAAAAACAATAAATCTAATGCATGAATTTCTATTCCTTTATATTATATTTCGTTTGATGTAAGATTATTTATTTTCTAGACCCTTCTATGGATTTCATGATAAAGAGCATCTGTTCTTGAAAATATTTTTGTATAATCCTGGCTTGATAAGGCAAGCGGTGGAACTTTGCAGCAATGGCGCCATATTGGGTCAAGCACTGCAACCCCATGAATCTCATTTGAATTTTACATTGCAATTTTTTATAGACTTTAATCTTTTTGGAATGAGTAATATTGATTTACAATGTGTCAAGTTTAGAAAGAATGGCATATCTCAACGAAGCGATGAGCCCATTCAATCGTCTGATGAACTAGGACTAAAACCAGAAAGCAGTTGTTATTATGAAATTGATTGTATTGCATCTCATATATTGAATCGCCAAAGAGTAGGCAGAGGCGATGGCATAGAAAATCCGGGCTTAGAAGAAGTATGGAATCAAGAACGTGAAAGGCGAAGACAACTTAACCTGTCAATAAGCTCTAAATCATTATCACAAGGCAGGATAGGTGTCGATGAAACAGATACGCATAATAAATATGAAAAATTGATTGCCGCTAAAATATCTAATATGGCTGAATCAACAAATGTCAAGAGTGAACAAAAAACGGAAATAGTAAATTATCCAGCGGAAACTAAGGAAAACTCGCAATTACTAAATGCCACGGATATAAGCCACCATATTCAGGACAATTCAATTGAGTTAAGTGCTAATATTACTTTAAGAAGATCAATAGACGATACTACGAATGACGCTGATAATACTTTAGTAGATGAAGATATAGCATTGAATAATAGTTTTTCCTTTCAGTACAGTCAAATTTTATGTAAGTATGATATACTATAATAAATATATTATAAAAATAAAAGAAACCCGACTGCATAAAAGCTATCTAAAAAGATGAAAGCAAGTTCATGAAGGAATATAGTATTATGCGTATGTATGTGAACGAACCCGACTTTGTTTTATAAATATAGATAGATATAAGTACTATAAATATAATACTAATATATAAGTAATGAACGTTTTAAATTTTATTATATTTGTATTTATGATGAAAAGGTACCGAAATAAACTTACGAAATTCGGAAGTTATGCGATAGTTTAAATCTTGAAATTCATTTTATTAAATATTTTAATATTTTCAGTGGATAATGATGACTTAGAACTAGTGGATATGCTTCAAGATTTAGATGAAAAACCTGTGGACGATGACAGTGTCATGGGTACACCAGCTGCTGACTGTGAAGATGATAAGGATTTAGAGATTGAATATTCACAAATATTTAAAGATGATACGTTAATTTTAAATTCCAATAAAAGGTACAGTTAATAATAATATAAGTATAAATGTTTTTAAATAGATGTAATTTATTAGTAATGCTATATTAAACACTGGCAGTATCCGTACCGCCATATCATGTTGCTTTGTACAGTCTGCAATGGAAAAGGAAATAACGCGAAAATATTCTAAGCATTTACATACCCACGTGTACCATTTTTATTGCGATCAGTGATATTTGATGCGTTGCGGCGCCATCTAGCGACGAGTTAAAACATTTTTATATATAAAATTGTATAATCATAAGATATTTTAAATTAATGTTTAATATCCATTACATATTTATGTAATTTAAATAATATATTTCAGTTAATAATTACAGCGTGAAAGAGGACACTGAGAACTCGCTCTCGTGGCAAGACTCTTTTTGGGACGCTGTTGATATACCGCAGTTAGATGGAACATGTGATGATGATCGTAAGAGTTTTTTTAATTTAATAGCAACCAGCAAGCCGCACTTGCCTTTTTCCCCAACTTCTTACTGAATGCAATTTTCTTATTTAGTCTAATACATCTTAAATTTATTAGATACATGTATGTATGTATGTATATTATATATTGATAATCCTATAAAAAATGCATTTTCACGGAAATGCTAACGGCATCTACAAAACCTTTTACTTCAATATCTTGAACAATATGGCGCATGCACACCATGTTAGGTGATAAACATGAAACGTGTAGATTGCGTACGTTCATATCGATACCCAAAAAGTGCCAAAAAGTTTAGCACCTGGTTTTTCACCTAGCTTTATAGAGCTTATCCTCTAAAATACTACGTATGGGCTATTTTATCTGGTATCACGATATGTTTATGATGCCAAAGCAAATATTTAGCCCATGACGGAATCGATCTCACGACTTCTAGCTTATTATAGTATCTTCGTTGGCTCACATTGTAGTAATATATAAACACATATTTCAGATGTTAAAAAGGTTAGAAAAAGAAAAATGAGATCCTTCAAATTAGGCTTATCACGGCCGAAGACGAAAAAGAAAAATCAGAAATTATTAAATGAAAGTGATAATACTACGATTGATGAAGACGATAGAGAAGAAATAAATGTTTCTAGAGAAATAATAGAAAATATTTCGAGTTTACATCTCAAAAAAAGTTGTAAAACGGATATTCAGACGCCAATACCAGATATCGAGGACTACGATAATGATCAAACCATAACTGATTTAGTTGATAAAATTAGTTTAAAAAATAATGACAGGAATAAAGTAGCTATTGCATATGATATGAATAATAAATTTGAACCTAAACCAGGTCCATCCAATGTCAATAAAAAATACGAATCGATAATTTCTTTTTCTGACACATACGAATCATCGCCAGACGAAAGCAAAACGGGCATCGAGAGTTTCTACGATAAATCTAGATTTTTCGATTTATCCACAGATTCTGTAGTCCAAAACAGTTACGAAGAAGACTTTATAAGTAAAGAAGTAAAAGTAGAGCGAGCTAGTATTAGTATTGTTATGCAAAACGAAATTAAATGTGAAACTAACAATGAAACTAACAATCAGTTAAGCAACGTTATATTAACACCTAAAATAAGACCGCCAACATCTCAATATATTAAATCTTCTTTAGATATTTTCAAAATTCCAAAAACAAAAAATCCAGACCCATATTTTTCCAATTACAAAGACGTCGGTGATAAAGTTGAAATTGGTCAAATAGTGTTGAAATTACGTAGCAAACTAGCGAAAGATCAAAAACCGTTTGACAAAGTACTAAATATAACAAGTATAGAGGAGTGGCGTCAACTGTTGTTCTTGCAAAGTAATGAATTATCTGAAGAAACTAAGCCAGAAGCTTTAAAGTTATTGTTAGCGGGAAATACAAGATGTGTATTGGAGCCTTTGAAACATGCTCCTTTAAGAAGTGATGTTGTAAAATGGATGGAAAATAATAAAAATGATAAAAAAATAGATGAAACTCCTATGAAAGATAATGTAATTAATCTTAACGCTGACGATTTAGAAAACTCGCAAGCGATTGGTTTAAATGAAATGGACAATAGTTTAAGCTTAGAAGTGGAAAAGGTTTGACATAATCTATACATATAATAAAATTGTAACTGAGTCGAATCTGTACATTAAATATTTTTTGAAAAGTCTTTTTGAAATAGTCATTATGATCGATACAGAGGCCGAATTTATAGTTTTTAGAATTTTTGTCTGTCTGTCTGGGAATGTATCACGAGAAAAACACTGGATAGATTTTGATGAAATTTTGTATGATTATAGCAACATATAGGATACTTTTTACTGGGGTAAAATATCTCGTCTCTGAGAAATTTATACTAACCGTTAAAACGTATATTACTGAAATTGTTATTTAATCGAAGTGGGACTTTGATATTTTTTTCCTAAATTCAATTCAAGAATTACATTATTTGACATATATTATATATTATAATCAAAAACGACTAGACAGATTTTCTAATTTCAAAACGTCAAATTTAAGGTTTAATAAATTTGTTTAAAATAGAAAGATACAACAATACTCCCATATAAAGCGATTGATTTATAGAACTAAAACGACATGTGTAATGTGTATACATGAATAAAGACGTAGATAATATATACTTAAAGAAGTTAATTAAATTGTATATTAGTTTAATTTTTAAACGATTTTATTTTATAGGAAAATTCAGAATTAAATAGCACTATGCAAGTCACAATGCAACCTGACGGATCATTTCTTTGCTTTGGAAATAGTGATTGTACTAAAGAAAGTTCTTTGAGCAATCCTGCAGTTGAGGTAAATTATTTTTTATCTATAGTTTATATTTATATTTCATGAAGTATTTTAAACAAAAATGAATTAGTATATAAACTTATCAAATGAAGATATTACTAATGATGCTCTTATTCCAATTGCGATGTTTGTATGTTTGTTACTTTAATGACTGACCAGGCTGGGGGGAGAAGGAGAAGTACACCGATAGACTATGATGTTGAGTACCACGTAGGTTACTATTAGGCCATACCTTAGGGGATATCCATTTACTTACATGAGCTCAATTTTGGGTGTGGGGGTTCCAGTAAAATTCCATTAAATCTCTATAATTAAAAAAATATAATCAAATTTTCTTTCACTTCTTTTGAAGTATCTCATTTTGCACACTGAAAATCTCATGGCTATTATTAAAAATTGCCCAAAATTGAAAGAAGATAGCTGAAGTATTTAACGGATGCCGACTAGAGATGCATCAGAGCAAAGCAAGTATGCATCCTGAGGTGCCTAATTATAGTGGCCTATGTTGCCTATGTTAGCAACAATTACAGTTTTTAAAAATATACTTTAAAAAAAGGTTACAAATTATAAACTTTTTTATTTTTCGGAAAAATATCATAATTTACAGACTGACTTCCTAACACTCATGTTATTGGAGGTCCACACATCGGTCAGAGGCGACCTCACCCCTGACCCAGCAATGGACCCAATAAAAGCAGTTTTCCTAACAATAACTAACGACTGCCCACAAGATCACTTACTACAAAGAAATATCACAGAGATATATATCGTACAAGAAAGAAAAGAACAAAAATATTTAAACAGATGCGTATTCAATTATAAAATAACTTATGTCAATAATGAGAACGACATATTCCAAAGACTAATTGAAAGTGTTCGGAACCACGATCCTGATATTATGTGTGGGTACGAAATAGAAATTAATTCTTGGGGCTATATTCTTGAACGAGCACAAGTTTTAGGTCTTGAAATGGTTAAAGAAATTTCTAGAATTACGGAGAAGAATCGCCAAAAACGCTATAAGAATGATGAAAATGAAATGGAAGGCCGTGTTATTGGTAGGATCACATTTAACGTATGGAGATTGTTTCGACACGAGTTAGCGTTATCGAGTTATAGCTTCGAGAATTGTATGTATGAGATTTTGAATGAGAGAGTGCCTAAGTTTACACACGCACAGCTATCGGAATGGTGGAATGACGAATCTCGCATGTTAAGATGGATTCCTGTGGACTATTATATGACCAAATTGAATGGCACAGTCAGGATGTTGGAAAAGCTTGATATGATAAGTAAGTTAAACACAATTTACATTTTCATATTTATGACATGGCATATTTTAACTCTATTTTATTACGACGTATATGTTTACTAAGATACGATATACGATACGATACTACGATATTATATGTCTTGTCGACTTAAAATTTTGTAATTATGTAAAATCGGGAGGACAATAAAATAATTTGATATCATTATTATATTGACCTGACTATCAAACCTGATGATCGAAGCCAAAAGGTGGCAAGTGGTACTCTATAATAATTTGAGATAGGTTCATTTGATTCGTTAAAACTTTAGACCATAGAGTCCTATTTAATATTTTTTACAAAACTAATTATTTGGTACTAGCGACTCACCGTCGCTTCGATCGGGTTCGTCCCTAGCTTGATTCCCCATACAAACTTTCATTGCCATTTTCACCCCCTTAAAGGATGATATCCGAGATAAAAGGTATCCAATGTCCTTCCCAGGGTCTCAAACTATCTTCTTACCAAATTTCATCTAAATCGATTCAGTAGATCCAGAGATTACCCCCTACAACGTCACAAACTTACAAAATTTACCTCTTTATAATATTAGTATGGATAAGAATAACAATCAACTTTTATTTCAGACAGAACATCTGAATTGGCACGTCTGTTCGGTTTGCAATGGTGGGAGGTGTTGTCGCGGGGCTCGCAGTTTAGAGTCGAGTCGTTGATGCTCAGAGCCGCGAGACCACTTAATTTGGTCGCTTTATCTCCTACAGTAAGACAAAGAGCGGCGATGCGCGCTCCGGAATGTTTGCCACTTATATTTGAACCTGGTATGTATTTTTTTTATAATCATTTATTTCTTTGCAATTTTAAAAATTGTAAATGTAACTTGAATTTGACTGAGTAATTGAGCTGATTTAGATCATGTAAAATATGCGTATATCCTTATCTTCCATATACAGTCCAAGAAATGATTTAAAAAAATCATTTTGTTTATCTAAATCTATATACTATTTTATTATAAAAAAAAAGTCACACATATCTACCTTAGACAAGAAAATAACTATGTTATTTATTACCAGAAGTATTTTCTCATTGAAATGTCTTTTTTGCAGAATCTCGCTTCTACACTGATCCTGTGATCGTGTTAGACTTCCAAAGTCTTTACCCGTCGATGATGATTGCATACAATTATTGTTTTTCAACTTGCATTGGAAGAATACAAAATATTAATGGGTAAAAAAATATTTATCTTTATAATTATTTATTTGTTTAGTCATCTCTTAACCAGGCACCCGATTATGTTTCTTAATACTAAAATAAATCTTAATACCAATGTCATTGTGATATCTATACTCTCTTTTATTCAAACTATTAACTAGTATTATATGTATACTAGCGACTTGTGAAAAATAACTCTATCCCACGGTAATCGTACGTTTTTCCGGGATAAAAATAACCTATGTACTTTTCCACACTATAATCTATTTCTGTGCCAGATGCGTTCAGCCGTTCTGGCGTGAGAAACAAACATCCATTTATCCAAACTTTGGCATTTATAATATTTATTGTATGCAAAATTTTGTATGTTTGTTACTCCTTCATGATGAATCGCTAGACGGATTTGGATGGATGGTAAGAGCTACTATGCACACTACGACTGTTTAACGCTTCGAATGTATCTGTAACAAACACAACCTTTTATGCGAAGACAGCGTACGGTTATGATATTCGCGACGTCGCCAAGTTTATGGAACGTGGTGTATATATGCCCCTTTTTATCAGCTCAGAATTCGTGTAGAACAGGAGCAGGCGTCGCGCGTCCGCTTTAAAAAGTAGTCGTCTGTTTTAAGTTAATAAATAAGCTTTTCAACCGACTTCAAAAAGGAGGAGGTTCTCAATTCAACTGTATGTTTTTTTTTTTTTTTTTTATGTTTGTTACCTCAGAACTCCGTCATTTATTAACCGATTTGGACAATTTTTGTTTTGTTTGAAAGGGTAGACTTCCAGATTGGTCCCATTTAAATTTCAAAAAAAAATACCACCCCTAAGGGTGGAAAAACAACTAATAATGAATTTAACCTACTTCTAATTGTCATATTGACTTGAAACTTTGCAAGTATTTCTATTTTCGTTGATAGTACAGTGGTTCAGTGTTGTTGACCTGATCTGATGGCAAGGCCAGAAGGTGGATAGGTGGAACTCTTCAACGGCTAATAGTAGATATTTTGAGTTTGGGCTTATTTTGTTTGATTTGACAAGCCTAACACGTTAGAATCCTTACGTTGCTACTACTGTCTACACTAAAAAGGGAAAAATAAAAAATTTTTAACAAAAAAATAAAAACCGACTTCAAACAAAAGCACTAAAAAGTGAAAAATAACTGATTGGTAGTTTTCATTTACTATACATACCTAATCAAATATTTTCGAAGTCGGTGTGCTTTGGCTAAGTAATTAAAGCCTACCTATTAAATACATACCTAATCAAATATTTTCGAAATCGGTGCCAGCCCATACAAAGCAAAGCACACCGACTTCGAAAATATTTGATTAGGTATGTATAGTAAATGAAAACTACCAATCAGTTATTTTTCACTTTTTAGTGCTTTTGTTTGAAGTCGGTTTTTATTTTTTTGTTAAAAATTTTTTTATTTCTTGCAACTTAATAACAGGGTTTTATATATATATAATTATCTATTTGTACTATTTCTTTTTTCTTCTTTTTTAATATATTTATAGTTCCTTTTTTGTTTATAATGATATAGTTATATATAGTTTTTTTTTCTTTTGTAAATTTATATATATATATATATATATATATATATATATATATATATATATATATATATATTGTGTTGGCTGCAAGCGCCTCTCGTACGGTAAAATCTTTCTCCAATTGTCGCCACCTAGACCTATATCTAGCTCCTCTGGACCACGTAGCACCGGCTAGTTTTACTAAGTCGTCGCACCGTCTTTTGTGAGATCGCCCCGGTGCGTGCCCTAAGTTGCTAGTGTTTAAATATCCTACATATTCCAGCGACGCTCCCTATGAATTTGGCGCTTGGCGTCTCCGTATACCGCAAACTAAGCTGGAAAGTCTCATCAAAAACGGTCTAGTGCACTGGTCCCCGGTGGGCGTGGGCTTCGTGAAGGCGTCGGTGCGGCGCGGCGTGCTGCCCGCGCTGCTCCGGAGGATACTCGCGGCCAGGCAAGCTGTGAAGAAAGGCATGAAACTACAGAAAGATGAAGCTGTTAAGAAGGCTATGCATTCTAGGCAATTAGGTAAGGATTTTTACGAATTTATATTTTTGACCAGATTGTTTTATTTATAACTAGCGACTCATCCTCTTTTCGCTCGGGTTCGTCTCTAAGTTGATTCCCCATATGAACTTTTATCTCCATTTTCACCCCCTTAAGGGATAATTTCCGGGATAAAAAATATTGTATATCCTTCCCAGGGTCTCAAACTATCTTCTTACCAAATTTCATCTATATCGGATCAGTAGATCCAGAGATTCCCCCCTACAACCTCACAAACTTTACCTCTTTATAATATTAGTATATACAACGAAAATACAAAGAAACTAAACTGGATGTATGCACGTGTAAGAGCGTGCGCGTGTGTGTTTGCGTGTGTGCCTTTGCGTGTGTGCCTTTGCGTGTGTGTATGTCAGTGTGCATGGATGCATGCGTGTGTATGTATGTATAATAAATTATTGTACAAGTCATGTCCGCAAGAGTTCCAGCTACATATAAGTGTAATATACATGTAAATTCAGTGAGGTTATGGTCACACAGGTGATTCATTAATTTACTATTTTTTTACTCATCATAAAAATACCGCACTAGCTCAATAAAAGTGTAAGGCTCTATTATCATTTCAATAGAAATATCTAAATCAAAAAAAATACCAACGAAAATAACTGATCAAGAAATAATTAGTATATGTATAACACAAGTATTATATAAAATACTTTCTTAGATTTACGCAAATATTTGAAATTTTAAATAAAACTATCTTTTCGGATTTTTTCGCGAATTTATTTTGATTTTTGGTTAACGACGTTTCGAATGCTTTACAGCAATCATGGTCACGGGAGAGATCAGTCTTTGCTGACCATGATTGCTTATTATTATATTAATTATATATTGATAATTTTATTTAAATTATTATATAAAACTTGAAATTGTTTTCAGGTTTGAAACTAATAGCGAATGTGACATACGGGTACACGGCGGCGAACTTCAGCGGACGCATGCCCTGTGTGGAGGTGGGGGACAGCGTGGTGGCTAAGGGCAGAGAGACGTTAGAACGCGCTATTAGACTTGTACAAAATGGCAGATGGAACGCTAAGGTCAGTAAAAATAAATAATACAAATTATTACCCCTATTTGAATTTCCGTCTAGTCTCTATGCTAAATCTTTAAAATTATTATTTCTTAAAAAATCTACTTATGTACTAGCAACTGACCCTCGCTTCGCTCGGTTTCGTTTCTAGACAAAAAAATCTATCCCACGGGAAACGTACATTTTTTCAGGATAAAAGTAACCTATGTGCTACTCCAAACTATAATCGGAAATAATAGATGGTGTAATTATTCGTATTTCGTTGTTACAATATATGAAAATATCGTGTAAAATAAAGTTTAACTTTGATCTTCCTTTTTGCACTTATTTTTGTTCAATATTTTGAACAAAAATAAGTGCAAAAAGCAAAATCAAAATTAAACTTTTACATTATTATGCATTTTATTTTAAATTAAGATATTAAATAATTTTATAATGACACAAATATCATTATTATAACTCGCGTCATCTAAAAGGAACGCTGGAAGAAAGCGGAGAGGGTATGTTTACGCATGGGTATACTCGCGTACAAAAGTACTAAGCCTATTATTTTATTTTTCATAGCATTTCGCTCGCGGCTTCATATATTAGTTATTGGTAGGGACATTGAAAAATATATTAGATAGAATATCATTAAATAGAATTCTATTAATTATTAAAATATGTTTGATTCAGTGCATAATGTTTAATCTACTTACAAAAAATTAAATGAATATGTTTAATACATTTTTTCTTATTATTAACTGCATTATTATTAGACTCTCTCTTTGTAAAACAATATACATCAAAAACAATTTTTCTCTTTTCTATATATAAAACCATTTCGTAATTAAAAACTTTCGTGTCCGCGATGGTATTTCATACTGACGAACCAATAGCGCGCCGGCAAGCACGCGGCGCGTGCCCCGCTGCCCCGAGCCGCCCCGCGCCCCGCTTCTTACCACAAATTTGACCGATAAATTGCTTCTGCGCAGTTTGACAGCCAGCGTTCTTTTTTGATGACGCGAGTTATAACAAAATGTAATCAACGTTTTAATGTCTTCACATCAACCAGCCGGCTTTAACGAGCGCCAAGTACCTCGCTCAATGCGACAATATTCACTTCTGGTTAAACACTAGAAAAGTAATTCAAATTTGGAATTTGATTAAAAAAATCAAAAAGAACAGTAAATTTTCTATATAGAACACTACATTAATTATTATTTTATTTCTAATTAGTTCAATATGAAAAAAGAATCCAAAAAGACCTTTCCTTCAATCCGATTAATTCTTTAGAATACCATAACTTGACAACAAAACATCAATTAAAAAAATATATTACGTATGCTTTTTCATATCGTCTAGAGGTTCAAATATGCCTATAATATGGGTATATAGTATTAATGGGAGGCCCTTACCCTGTAGTGGGACTTTAAAAAGGGTTGAATACAATAATACTATTCAAGCATATATTCTTGCTTGCACAGGTGGTGTATGGCGACACGGACTCCATGTTCGTGCAAGTGCCGGGCGGCACTCGCGCTGAGGCCTTCGAAATTGGCCAACAAATAGCCGATGCCGTAACTGCGGACAACCCTTCCCCGGTTTTGTTAAAGTTAGAAAAGGTATGCTGAATATTAACATTATTTTTTTTGATAATTTTTAGAGGATAGTAGTCCATCTTTTGACAGTCAGTATAAAATTTAAAACATAACAATACTTTTTCGGTTACTTTTCTTACCGGAGGGTTCTGTTACTGACATAAAATGCAAATAGCACTAATTAGTAAATAAAATAAAGCTTAAAATATGTAATTGTACTTTGTTATTATAATACTAGCGACTCGCCCTCGCTCGAGATCGTCAGTAGATATGTTTTAACGGTTAGTATACATTTCTCTGAGATGAGATATTTGACATTTTGACACATTTGATATGTAGACTCGGATAACCAGCTATCATCATACCAAATTTCACGAAAATCTTTTTAGTGGTTTTCTCGTGACGAGTTCCCAGACAGACAGACAAAATTAAAAAAAATATATAGATTCGGTGTCTGTATCGATATTAACGTCTATTTCAATAAGATTTGCCAAAAAATTATTTAATGGACAGATTTGACTCAGTTAAAATTTTATTATATGTATAGATAATCGCTTTCAAAAATATATTGCAGGTGTACCAACCTTGTATATTGCAAACAAAGAAACGCTACGTCGGTTACATGTATGAAAGTGCAGACCAAGAAAAACCTGTGTATGAGGCCAAGGGAATAGAAACTGTACGTCGAGACGGCTGCCCCGCTGGTGTAAAGGTATTATTACAAAGTATATATTACTTGAAGGCAGTGATAGCCCAATGGTAATGCGCTCGCTTGGGAAGCCGAGTGACGCGGGTTCAAATTCCGAGTCTCGCATGTCTTTTATTTTCGTGTGCGAATCAATTTTACCATGATAACTACTTACTTGTCTTACGGTGGAGGAAAACATCGTGAGGAAACCTGTATGTCTTCCAGGATCTCTCGAGCCTAGCAAGTTTTCGATCTCATCTCTCTCGGCATCTGAAGTCCGCCAACCCGTGGACTATGCCTGGTCCCCCTCGTATTGAAGGGAGGCCCGTGCCCCGCTGTGGGACGTTAAAAAGGGCTAAACACAAGCATACCTATTGTTTGTGAATTTATTTGTGGCATAAACTATTTTCAAGAAAAAAAAGCAAAGTAAGCGATTTTGAAGTATCGATATTAAAACAATTGAATAGGAATTTTCATATCTAAAGATACAATAAGCAAAGTCGTTTAGAAATTCGTGTGCTTTTTTAATCTAAACTACGAGTATAATAAAACAGTAGAGGTCGAATGTCTGTACATAGCAAAAAAATGCTAAAAACCGAATCAGGGGGATGTAAGAAGACAAATAGAACAAATCCAGAATTTTTTCAACTTTTTTGTTTCTCTGTCTGTTTGTACGGGCTAATCTCCGAATCTATTGGACCGATTTAAACAAAATTTTGCATGGTGGTACCTTATATCCCTGGGCAACATCTTAGATACTTTTTATCCCGGAAAATTAAAAAGTTACCGTGGGATAGTTAAAAAACTATGGTATCCTATACAGCTTAGTACACAACAACTTATGCACCTAATTTAGTAAAATTTAATATTCTGAGACCTTACATTGCCGGTCAAACAACAGGTTACTTTTCATCCTGGAAAAACGAATGGTTCCCGTGGGAACTAATAGATCTCTATTAGTTTTTTCTAGAGGCGAACCCGAGCGAAGCAAGGGTGAGCCGCTAGTTTAAAAATAAATATTTAGGCGCTCGTTCAGTAGTCCTTTACCGTTTAACCACGAACATTTACGAAATGGCGCTGCATGACATTGTTAGCATGAGAGCAGATAGAGAAGGCTCTATATTATTAGTTTTAAAATAATATTTTTATTGTGCAAATTTTGCGTTTTTTTTTATTTCAGAAAAGACACCTAAATAGATAAATTTAAAAGGCAAAACCTTATCTAAATACAAAATTTAATCCAAATGGATAGAGCCATTTCTTTTATATATACAAGAATTGATCATATTTATTTTAACTATGTATATACTAAATAGATATGTAGTAATTTGTTTTTTAAATTATGATAAAAAGTAAGTTGAACAACATATTTATATTAATTTTATTTTTTTAATAAATAAAATAAAAATAAAATAAATACTAGCAGACCCCGCGGCTTCGCTCGTGTTAAAACTACAAAAAACTCTTAAAAAGTAGATTCCATACAAACTTCATCCCCTATTTTACCCCCTCATTGGATGAATTGCGAAAAATGATAAAACACGTATTTATTTAATTGTATTGAAGAGCATTTATACCAAGTTTGAAGTAATTCCGATCATAATTTTTTCTTTGAGTTGTATTATATCGTGTTTTCCCGTGGGAATGAGATAATCTCACGAAGTAAAAAATAGACTATGTCAATCTCCAGCCCTCTAACTATCTCCACACAAAAAAATCATGTCAATTCGTAACTCCGTTTCGACTTGAAAGAAGGACAACCAAACAAACATACTTTCACATTTATAATATTAGTATGGATTATTATGGATATTATTAAAATAATTTCAGCTTTTAAAAAGGTCACTATGCGAGTTATTCGAGACGGGCGACATGTCCCGCGTGAAGAGGCTGGTGTGCGATGTGCTGTCTAAACTCATCGACGGGTCTTTGTCACCGAAAGAGTTGTTGTTCACGAGGGAGTATCACGGCGCCGCCGGCTACAGGCCGGGGTCCGCCGCGCCGCCTAATGAGATCGCTAAGTAAGACACATTTTAAAACTATAGTAACTATAGTCCATTCGCGTTAAGATATTGAGTCATAAGTGCAACTGCAGGCTAAAGGTGTGTTCATAGTGGAGTAAAAATTCAATTCAAATATATTTCAAAAGATTAAGTTTAATGGATAAAAATCAACTTAATTATCTCAAATCAAGATAATCATTAATACATAATAATATATTTAATCAGTATCACTAGAATCTTCGTTTGTATTTATTATAAAAGACTCAAAATCATTTAAATCGTACAGTTTAAAGTACTTAAAACCCTCATAAATTAATCGTCTTTCTCCACTATGAATTATCTATCCACTTTTATTTTTACGAATAGGTGAGGTATTCATTTTTCAAATTTGTTGTAGGTAACGCACATAAAACTGTTTCGTACAAAAGTCTGCCTTCAACTGGTCATTGTGAACTTGACTTTATAATTTTATGGGACCTAATTGGTCGGAGGGCGTATCGAGGTTGATGGACAATGATAACTCACTATTTTCTTAACGCGAATGAACTATAGCGGCTTACCCTCACTTCGTTTAAGTGTGTTCCTAATAATAGTAGGAGAGCTCACGAGGGGATTTTTTGCAGTTACTCAAGCGCGATAGCTTAACATAATGTTTAGGGGGGATACCTTGCACTCTGTTGAGTACATCCACCATAATATATATACGCTATATAACGGCGCGCGTCTAGGGCAGCCGATCAACATATTTAATAAATATTTTCATTAGTTACTTAAAATACTTGAAACCGTCAGATTATGGTATGGTGGGCTAATTACATCCTAAAAAGTGTGTAATTCAATAATCTGCCGATTTGCACAAGCCGAAGAGAAAAAAATCAACATAAACTTTATAATCGATATCCCCTCTTGGGCTTCCCTATGTGTCTAACAGTAGGTTAACTATACATATAATCTTATACATGTAAACTATGTTTTCGGATTATTCCGCGAAATAATCGGAAAAGATAGTTTTATTTAAAATGTCAAATATTCGAGTAAATCTAAGAAAGTATTATTATAATATAATATGTACAAATAACTATACTTAAAAAGCCTACAGAAAGTCTGTAATAACATAGCTATCGCCTAAGGTACACTCGCAATAACTATTTTTATCGATTTAAAATGTTTCTAGAGGTGCAACCGAGCGTAGCGATGGTAAGTCGCTAGTCTATACTAATATTATAAAGAGGTAAAGTTTGTGAGTTTGGGACGTTATACGGGGTAGTCTCTGGATCTATTGAATCGATTTACATGAAATTTAGTAAGAAAATAGTTTGAGACCCTGGGAAGGACATAGGATACTTTTTATCCCGGAAATTATCCCTTGAGGAGGTGAAAATGGGGATGAAAGTTTGTATTGGGAATCAAGCTCGGGACAAACCCGAGCGAAGAGAGTGTGAGACGTTAGTTATTTATAAAAACCGCGTGAGCCGCTAGTATTAAATGAATAATAATATTCCAGGCGGCTCATCTCGCGCGACGCCCGCAGCGCGCCGCGCGCCGGCGAGCGCGTGGCGTGGCTGGTGTGCGGCGGCGCGGCGGGCGCGGCGCTGGCGCGGCTGGCACGCGCCCCGCGCGACCTGCTGTGCGCCGCGCCCGCGCCCGCGCCCGCGCCCGCGCCGCCGCACGTCGCCTACTACGCGACGCGCGCGCTGCTGCCGCCGCTGCAGCGCTGCTTTTCGCTGCTGGGCGTTGATGTGTTTAAGTGGTTTGTTCGCCTTTGTAGGCTTTGTCTAACTTATTATGAACAGGGCTGCCGGTAGAGACAACTGCTGCCAGTAAAGCCAACTTATTTTATACCGCTGAGTAGGTCAAATTATAGCAAACCAAATTTTATTATACAAATTAACAAAACTGTTGAGAAATAATCTGTGACGAATAAAAAAAAATCAATAAAAATACGTAATAACTTAAAATGAAATATACATAAAATAAACATATTTTACAATTTTCGTATCCAATTGTACGATATGTTATGGCTGTCGTCGTGTCGCAGCCTGCTTTAACTGAATATTAATAATAAAAATTATAAAAGTATCCTAATCCAACCTAAAATAACAATCATAAATACTCGAAAAATTTGATTCACAGGTGGCAAGAAATAGGCTGGAATCGTGAAGCTCAAATAGAAAGAGCCGGTACAGTAGGTGGTATTGCCAAATATATGGAGAGAGGCCGCTGTGCAGTCTGCGGGGCTAAAGGCACCCGAGCCCTATGCACCTTATGTGCCTCAAACACACAAACATCTCTTGCAGTCATAGCTTCTAAACTAGCGAAAGTTAAGACGCACATACAATATTGTTACCAGGTGATTAAAATTATTTGTACTAGTATTAAGTAACGCTCCAAACCAAGAAATATAAATACTCTAACGAGCTCTTAGCTTAATTACATTACTAATAATAATATCGTCCTCATCGATTTCGGCCACGGCGGTCAATTTCACTGAGGCTATATCTGCGTAGGAGATCTTATAGTGCACAAGTGTACGCGCAGACACAAGTGCACTCTCTATTCCTGTCACTCTCATATTTTGAGTTAAGGCGCAGGACCGACGGCTTTACGTGCTCTCCGAGGCACGGGGGTGAAGCACCGCCAACTTCCAAATTCCGGGCTGTTACTGTGACATCCTTAACAGAATAACTTAATAACTAAACTTGACCCGACCCGAGACTCGAGCCCAGGACCACCGTATGTGCAGCCGTACATGCTAGCCACTACACCATCGCTGCAGTAAAAATTACGATTACTAATGGTACAAACTATTGTACTGTAGTAAACTAATATAAGGGAGAAAAGCAAAACAAAAACAACTATATAATTATTTCTATATAGAAAATCCAAATCTAAAAATAAACAATTATAGCGATTTATTTTTCATTTTTATTTACAGATATGTAACTCATGCTGTGGTCACTCACAGTATTTAAAATGTGAAAACACAGAATGCCCCGTGCTATGGCGGCGGGTGTCAACTCTACAGAAGTTGCATCAAATGTACGATATAACAACGAATTTACCGCCTTCCTACATGAAAGAAAGTCTTAATTAAAATGATAAAGTTGATAATATATTTTTATGTTAGTTATCAGATTCCAGATCACATCAGATTTTAATTTAATATTAATCAACTTTAGTAAAGTTTTATGTATATATAAATATGAAATTATAAAAAATCTATTGGCACTATTTGTTTTATTTACATAATCAACGTTTACTATTTTAAGATTTTTATATCTTACTAGCGACTCACCCTCGCTTCGCTCAGGTACATTCCAAGCTTGATTCCCCATACAAATTTTCATCTCCATTTTTACCTTCTTAAGGGATTATTTCTGGTATAAAAAGTATACTTTGTCCTTCCCAGGGTCTCAAACGATCTTCTTAACAAATTTCATATAAATCGGTTCAATAGATCCCTACAACCTCAAAAAGTCACAAACTTTACCTCTTTATAATATTAGTATAGATCAGCAATACCATTGGCCGTGAACGTAAGAGACACACTGTGAGGCGCAGGGTGTCTTAGGTTGCTCTTGGTACTTTTCCATTAGAAGTGTATTAGCTTTTCTAGCCAGTGCTGTCTAACAATAAGAGGGTTACTCCCACCAAACCAGCCGAAATATTAACTAAAATATATGATGCAATCGATCCTATAACTAGTGCCATTGAGGTAATGGTAAACAGTGACAACGATTGAGATGAGATAAATAATCATACCCGTCTCGTACATTTACATGACTAATGCCCGATTTCACCAACGTCACCTAAGTTTAAGGGATCCCCTAAGCATGATTAGGGGGCTGTTAGGGGACAGTTTCTGTTTCACCGACAGGGTCACGTAAAAATTAACAAATTAATAATAAAATGCCACCCAAAATATAGGTACTAGAAATACGGACTCTGACGATAGTAAAACGAAATTTAATTAAGGGACTAGTTTAGAGGAATTTTTAAGCTAGGAACCCCATACGTAGGTGGTAGCTTAAGTGATGTTGGTGAAATCGGGTATTATACTTAAATTAATTCGATTAAATACAATATCACCTTCAAGTAAATTTCTTAGAAATTAATTAAATTACTAAGAAATTAATTAAATTTCTAAGAAATCTATTGTTGACTGTAACGCCGACGTGTCCGCGGTCGTGGAGGGAATATGCATCTTTTATGTAAGTCACATCGATTTAGTTTTTTTTACAATGTTCCATTCGAGTTCTTTGTATATATTTTTTTGAAGTTATATTTCTTTTGGGACGTTTTGAAAAAATTATGAGAAAAAAAATTACGATGCGCGCGCACACCGACAGTATGTTAAGAAGAGAAATAGAACAAATCCAAATTTTATCGATTTTTTGTTTCTGTCTGTTTGTATGTTTGTACATGAAACTGTTTGACCGATTTAAAAAAAAATTGTATGGTGGTACCTTATATCCCCGGTCAACATTTTAGATACTTTTCATTCCGGAAAATTAAGGAGTTCCCGTGGGATAGTTAAAAAACTATAGTAACTTATAAAGCTTAGTACACAACAACTTATGCACTTAATTTAGTAAAATTTGACATGCTGATTGATACTTTATACTGCCGATAAAAATATGTATCCCGAAAAAATATACGGTTCCTGAGGGATTTGTTTTTGTTTTTCTTATTTCTAGAGGCGAACCCGAGCAAAACAAGGGTGAGCCGTTAATAAAGAGTATATTTGGCTTGATAATTTAGTTGGCTTTTGAGCCTTTACATTTTTCTGAAAAGTGCGGGAAATTTTCCCGTGGATCTGAAAGCTTGAATTAATCGATCCACGAGTCAGCTACGGGAAAGCATTCCGTAGACCTGTAGATCTCGCGAACTTACTTCGAAAACTAATTTTCATTGCTGATGTACTTATGTTTTTTTATTTTTTAAGTAACAAGATAATAAAGTAAATTATAATTTAGAGTGCCAGATGAGATGATACGTATACTGGAATACTTTTTTCAATTGAGTACGGAAACAAATTTATATAGAAAGGCTGAATGTTTGAGATTTGCTAAAAATATCATCCAATTACATCAAGTGGATTGCATCAGTAAGAGTGAATTCAAAACTTTTATTTGTGACAATTTAGATGTATGCACAAATGAGGCTGTGGCGATATACTCTTAGTTGTTACACTTCAGGTAAATGTAGTTGCATAAAATGAAGAAAAAAAAAAGATTAAATACTCTATGAATAAAAGGCTTTTAATCGATTTATTTTAATTTTCAGTGCTTAGAAGTATGGATTGGGTACTGCTGGTGTGTGTAGAAGTTTTTTTCAGATCATAAATATCAAAGTATTGTATGACTTGTGGTGACTATGATTAACATCTGCAAAGTGGAAGAACAAAAACAAATTTTGGTTAACTTAGAAAAAACAAGAAATTTATGTCTAAAAATCTTTTATTTAAAAAATAATATCTTTATACAAAATTCTATCATGTCAAAATATATAGATAATGTTAATTATGATGGTCCCCTTTTAATTTGTCCCATTGTTAATATTGATCAAGTCGTTGCAAACTTCAGTAATGCTAGGTCTATTCTTCCAGTTGTACTTGAAACAACTTCTGGCCAAATCATAAACTTTACTACCATTTTTCCAAGTTTCAACAATTGGATCTAATAAAGGAGTGATATCTTCTTGAGTGCAGTTTTCCTCAACATAATGTTTTATGTTATAATTACAGCCATTATGGTTAATGATGGGTTTAAGACCCGTGAGTAATTCTAACAGTACAATACCATAACTAAAGATATCTGTTTTTTGAGTAACCGTTCCTTGTAAAGCTTCAGGTGCCATATATGCAGATGTTCCCATAAAACAAGTTGTCATAAATGTAGCATCATATTGCTTAGCAACGCCAAAATCGCACAGCTGTAAAAAAAATAGTTAAATGTTTCAATTTTCAGATTAAGAGAGAGACTACACAATTTACATGGTGTCATATTCTATTTTAATAAGATATATTTAAATCCATCTTTAAATTGCTGCACCATGGAAATCAAAGTCATTAAGTAATCCTACAATGTATATACAAGGTAAGTAATATTAAAAATACCTTAGGCACATAATCTTTAGTCAGAAGAATATTGGCAGTTTTAACATCTCCATGAATAATTTTTTTATTTAATTTTTGTGGAACTGAATCAGCACCTGACCCTACATCAGCATTATCCTTATTATGCAATGATTCTTCACTTGTGTGTAAGTATTTTAATCCTTCAGCTATTCCTACCATTATATTTATTCTTTGAGCTTCAACTCTTAACTCTTTAGCCTCAATTATTTTTTCTAAAGAACCTCCATCTACATATTCACAAACAATACATGGTGTTGGTCCGTTTCTTGAGTAACCTATGATAGACACAATGTTTTTATGTCTAAACTGAGATAAAAATTTTACTTCTGCATTAAATATCTTCATAGCAATATTAGGTCTACGATCTATGTTAAGATGGGAACTATGGGCTTTCTTGACAGCAAGCATACCATATTTTTGATGTTTTCCAACAAAAACATTCCCGAAACCTCCACTACCTATTTTCCCTCTAAGACCTTTTGGACCATCTTCTAATTCATTAGAAAAGTTTCCTGTAATACTTTCCAATTCATAATAATCAAAATTATTTAGCTTTACATCTTCTAGTATAGTGGTCTCTATTCCTGACGACATAGGAATATCTGGAAAAGTTTGCTGATAATTGTTCATGTCATATTTACTATAATTTTGATTAGTATTTTCAGAGTAACTCTGAAATGAACTTTCAGTATCCGAAGAGTCATTCGTTAAAGGTGAAGTCGACTTTTGACTAAAATTCTTAGATGCCATCAGTACACTCAATGCTGGTACATTCAAAGATTCTTCTGTTCTTGTGTCTTTTGTGAACTCTATTAAGTCAGACTGAGATTCTTTCTCAACTGGGGCCTCATCTGTGCTATTACCAGAAAAATGTATAAAATCACTAACAGATTCCATTTTTCTAGTTGTTCCATTATAATCTTTATTAGAGACTGACATGTTATTACTGAATCCTTGATCTAAACCTTCTTCATTTAACATTTCAGTAATACTTGTTATAGGTGCAGCTGGACCATAGGTTGGGCGCTTAGGCAAGGGTTCTATAAAATATTACATTAAATTAATGAAATTATAACCATATTTATTGGAAAATCATACAAGGTTGAAAGAGTTCTTCCACTTCTTATAATTTTATTACTTTATAATATTTTTATATGATACCATATCAGTACTTTTTAATTCAAATTCATCAATTAATATTATATATAATAAATTTGAAGTATGCAATTAGTATTAGTATGTTTTTACAATCTTAATAATAATTTATGATTAATTACCAATGTACCTTTTAACATGTGTGCTATTAGGTCAGCAGCTCTATATATTTCTGCTTTAATTAAAATATCTTTTAAATGACTTAGAGTAGGCCTAACTCTGCCTGATGTCCCCCATTCATCCATGAGTATCTCTGCACATTTTTGATTACTTGATTTTGCATGCTCTTCTATTAATCTAAAATATTTATAAAATATTTTATTGTTTTAATAAAATAAGTATTTCTAACTCTTGCAGATATATATTTTTTGACAAATTACATTAATGATTACATATTCAAACATGTAAAAATTAGCACCTACAGACTTTCAGTTTTGTTTTATTTGTAGTAATTTATTATAAAATAGCAATAACTATTTATTATGCTCAGAATACAGAACTAACAGTTGGTTCTGTATTCTGAGTTGATATATTAAAAGGAAAAGTACATTTCATGGTAGTGTGATTGATAGTAATTTTATGTTGTTGTTTGAAAAATAAGATGTATTTACTAGAGAATTCTTTCTTAACTGATTTAATATTACATAGTGGTCATTAGATAAAGGCATTTAGATTTATTAGATTTTAGTATCATATGTATCGCAATTTGCAGGGTTTAGTTGTTTACTCTAGTACAAAATGCAGCGAACACAATAGATCAAGAATGGTCACAGTGACATCTTATTTAAATCGGCTACAATGGAATAAAAAAATATATATAAAGAACACATGTATTAAATATTAAACCAAATAAATAAAAAAGACGCATAAAAAAATACAGCCAGTATTAATCATATATATAATATAAAAAGGAATAGCTGAATGTGTTGGTAAGCGCAAATCTCGAGAGCAGCTGAACCGATTTCACTAATTCTTTATTTAGAATATTCCTTGAAATACGAGGATGGTTCTTACGGAGAGAAAAATTTAAAAAATTGCCTTGAAAAAGTCTAAAAACAACACTTTTCTATACTTCCCTACAAAAGATTCGTAATAATACTTAAAAGTCATTTTGAACTTTAATACCATAACATAAGTGTTAGTAGAGAGGTTCCGGGAAGGCAAAACATTGATGACAATTGAGTGACGTTAGAATCGTATAAATATTAAGTCAATATTATTAACAAAAAAATTAAAATTTATATGGCTAACGCTGGCTAATAACTATGTCTATTTAAAACGTACCTAGTGACAAACCCGAGCGAAGCGAGGGTGAGCCGCTAGTTATTCATAAAAATAAGCAAATAACATCGGTTTTTTTTCATATTTAGTTAGATAAGCCCGCCCCCTTTCCATATAACGGGACAATTGTGGTAATAAAATCGAATAAAACACATTCTTCAATATTTTACATAATCTTACCTTATGTGTTCATTATTATATTTACGTGCAGAATTTTCATCTTGTATTTTTTTTGGAATAATAGACATGACTCTTTTCCAGTCATCGTTTATCTCTAATATATTAACAACTTGACAAAGAACATCAGCAGGGAGTTTGCGAAGTTCGACGTTTTTAAGCATGATGAGAAAAAAGCACTTCAACACTTCAGAATTGAAAATACATAACAGTATAATACTATACTCTTTGCAGTAAACACTAACCACTTCCCATAGAGTATATTGCTACATATCTATACATACATATAATAAAATTGTAACGAAGCCGAATCTGTACATTAAATATTTTTTGGAAAATGTTATTAAAATAGTCATTATTATCGATGCAGAGGCCGAATCTTTACTTTTTAGAATTTTTGTCTGTCTGTCTGTCTGTTACCGCATCACAGAAAAACCATTGAAGGGATTTTGATGAAATTTGGTATGGTAATAGCTGGTTATCCGAGTCAACATATAGGGTACTTTTTACCGCGGAAAAATATCTCTTTTCAGAGAAAAAATACAAAAACTGCAATGTAAGAGTATACTAATATGTAAAACCTAAGAATTTGGTTTTTGGTCATCTGAACGCGGGCGGAGCCGCGGGCAATGCTAGTATAAATTATAAGCCACTACCATAGTCCATAGACCAGGAAGTAGGAACAACAAAGGTAGACAGGGATGTGAAAACATAATCGATTTTTAATAGATGATCGATTCACTTAATATTAAAAATCGATTTTTAATGAATTTATTATATTACTTACTCTCTTTTTTTAAAGTAAATAAGATAAGATATGCGTTGTTGCATTAAATCAATATAGCCAAACTACACATTTCGTTTTGTTTTATACACATTACATTAAAATGTTAAATAGTACCTACTAAAAATTAGTAGCAATAATTTTATTCAGTTTACTCATTATTTAAGTTGAAAAAACTTGGTTTGTTTTTTAGTTTTTAAACCAACAGATTGTTGTTTTAGATACGGATTTGGTCACTTTATTATAATGTACAAAAAAATGCAACTTTTCAAATAGTTCGATAAAATCGATTAATTAATCGATTAGCTAATCGATTTTTTACAAACAGATTTATTTTAAAGAGAGAAAAATCGATTTTTTTCCGTCCAACTCACATCCCTAGAAGTAGAACCACTATCAAATATTACGTTATTAATAAATTAAGTGCCAACCATGGAGGACAAATAAAATCATTTTGACAATGTCACCTTTATCTATAATATATATATATACATTTAATAATACTATATGTACATATAATAAAATAGTATAATATAATAGACTATAGGTACATATAATAAAATTCTAACTAAGCCGAATCTGTACATTATAATTTTTTGGAAAATTCAAAATAGACATTATTATCGATACAGAGGCCGAATCTTTAGTCTTTAGATTTTTTGTCTGTCTGTCTGTTTGTCTGTCTCTCTTTTACCGCATCACGGGAAAACCACTGGATAGATTTTGATGAAATTTAGTATGATGATAGCTGGTTATCCGGGTCAACATAAAATATCTCATTTCTGAGCAATCTATACTAAACGTTAAACGTAACCAACGTAACGTGTGAATAATTTTATTTTCTATAAAGCATGGATGACAAATATTGCCAACTGCCACTGTGCGGTGTGCCAGGCGCCAGCCGTGGGCCTTGAGCTAAAAATGGCGGAAAGGCGTGACAGAGACAAAACAAAATATGTGCGGCTAGAAGTCTTCTGTAATTGAAATACGATTAATGAACATAGATATTTATAATAATTTTCATTCCATTATAATATTATAGTTTTTAATAAATTATTAGGTGAAGGAAAACATCGTGAGGAAACCTACATGTCTGAAGAGAACCTAGCAAGTTTTCAAAAGACATGTGAAGTCCGCCAACCCGCACTTGGCCAGCGAGGTGGACTATGGCCTGATCCCCCTCGTATTGTAGGGAGGCCCGTGCCCAGCAGTGGGACGTTAAAATGGGCTGAATACAAATTATTAGGTATAGTATAAATTCTATTAATAAATTCATATTGGAATAAAGGACAGGTATTGGCTGTACGTTCGCTTTCTCTCTTTCTAAGGAGTTGTCAATTTCATGAGTGTATTTATTGGTCAGTCCATCCATTGTCTAGGTCTATAGTGTATCATTAATTCTAATGAGAGTTGCCATTTTGACCTCCTGATAACAAAGATATCAGTTTCACTCATTAAATATTGGGAAAAACGAAGCGTTGATACAAAAAAAGACGGGAGTCGCGACTCTATTGCTACTATCGATATTCCCACTATTGCCGGGCTATAGATACACTATCTATCGATAGTGACCTGTCAAACGGCATCACTGGTTGCATGTTATGGGAAATCCCAAAAACAATATTTTGTACCAACTACCAATGCTTAGTTTTAACCAATATTAATGAGTGAACTTTATTATCAGGAGGTCAAAATGGCAACTCTCAGTCGATAAGAATTATGATACACACAGTACACACAAGTTTTAAAAGATCGTAACTTGAATAATTAAGTGCTTTTATCTCATCATGCTTAAAAACGTCGAATTTCGCAAACTCCCTGCTGATGTTCTTTGTCAAGTTGTTAATATATTAGAGATTAATGATGACTGGAAAAGAGTGATGTCTATTATTCCAAAAAAATTACAAGATGAAAATTCTGGTTGTAAATATAATAATGAAGAAATAAGGTAAGATTATGTGAAATATTGAAGAATAAGATTCCTTTATTCGATTTAAATACCCTTATTCCCTAGTCATATGAATGAAACATCTGACCGAATGAGCCGATGGAAAGCAAATCTACTCGTAATATATTTCGATACGTAAAACACATATTTACCTATTAGATATCTTGTACATATATATATATATATATATATATATATATATATATATATATATATATATATGGCACAAATTCAGAATTGGGGACTTGGCCCCTAGCGGAGTGGGTGGTATTTCTGGATAAGGGACGTGATAGGGAGTCGAAATGTTAAATAAAAATTGTCCGCGAACGTATGAGTAAAAAGTTATTGAGACTTAAAGTTACAACATTTCCATACATTTTCATATATTTCTTTACCACCATTCGGAGTGGGTAGTATTTTTAGATAGGGGAGGTGACAGAGAGTCAAAATATATTAAAAATATTTGGAGGAAACGTACGAGTAAAAAGTTATTGAGACTTAAAGTTATAACATATCTAACACATTTCCATACATTTCTTTACCTAAATAAGTGATTACAACAGATAAACATACCTTTAACGAATAGTACGCATCCTTTTTTATGTACATTACACATTTTCACAACAATTAATGCTTTATTGTATTTAATATTTTAATAATTTCACAACACAAACAAAATGATCTTACATTTTGACAAAAGCAAAACTGACACTTTGTTTATATTACCGCTTAAATGACAACAGATTATATTTGATTATTTTTGCTTTTTCTGTTGGTAAAATATTAATATTAATAAATAAATAAATAAAAAGAAAAATATTATTTTCATTTCATAAATACATTTATGATTTTTTATCTGATTTATGTAAAATATATTGTTTTACAATTGTACATTTAGTAAAAAAAAAAACATTTTTTTATCTGTGAATTCAGTATTATTGGCGGGTGTTCTTAAAATACCGCGAAGTTTCATAATTTGTGACTCTGTACTCTGTGTATTTTCCATTAGTTATTAGTTTTTGTTAATTTTTATATACTTTCGTTTCTTGTTTTTGTTTTAATATTATTTTTATAGTTTTAAGTGTTCATAGTGTTAGTGTAAACAATTTATAAACGTGAGTAGACTATTTTTAAAATCTAAATGTATTATTTACTTTTGGTTTTTATTTTGCGACATCGTGGTTAATTTAAGACAGGTTATTTATTTATTATTCGTCATATCTTGGTTAGGTTAGGTTAGAACATTTAAGATTATTTATTCCTCATATCTGGGTTAGGTTAGGTTAGAACATTTAAGATTATTTATTTATTATTCCTCATATCTGGGTTAGGTTAGGTTAGAACATTTAAGATTATTTATTTATTTATTATTCCTCATATCTGGGTTAGGTTAGGTTAGAACATTTAAGATTATTTATTTATTATTCCTCATATCTTGGTTAGGTTAGGTTAGAACAGTTGCCACAACGCACGAGCCGAGCGAGCGAAGCGAGCGTGCCGCGGTAGCGGCCGGCGAGTGCCATAAATGACTAGAAAACTAGAAAATTCGAATTTCACGCAAAGTACAAATAAAGACAATCATCTGGAGATCATTTTGACAATTGAAAGTGACGTTTTGACTCCAAGTGTCTAAATGGTAGTAATGTCAAAATAATGTATGGAAATGTTGTAACTTTAAGTCTCAATAACTTTTTACTCATACGTTCGCGGACAATTTTTATTTAACATTTCGACTCCCTATCACGTCCCTTATCCAGAAATACCACCCACTCCGCTAGGGGCCAAGTCCCCAATTCTAAACGGCCGCCATATATATATATATATATATATATATATATATAATATCTTAAAATATTGTCGGCTGGCACCGACTACGAAAATATCTGATTAGGTATCTATTCTAAACGAAACCCCCCGTTTAGTTATTTTTTACATTTTAGTGCCTGGAATTCGGTTTTTTTAAGTTTTTATTTGTCCATTTTTAGTGTAGACGTAATAAGCAGGTAATTTGTTAGAAGAAAGTTTTTTAATAACATGTTCAATTAAGCAATTTATTTAAAATAAAAACTTAATAAATGTGCAATTCACACATCGTAGAAGTGAAACTTCAGAAAATGATATGAATATAGAGTATCAGGAGTAGGATAATCATAAGGATTTTTTTATAATATTTTTACCAAGTTTAAAAGTTATTTTACATTTTATTTGACATAAATATAAACATTACATAATAATCAGTAATGAATTTTATTATTTTTCACTTCCTGTGTAATGTATTCTATCAAATAACAACGGTTACCATGGCATCATCGCAATGTATTCTATCTCATTCTATCGCCAGCTTAATCCTATATATTTATATGTTTGTCTCTTTTTACTGTCGCATTTCCGTTGCATCGAGTTTCAAATCACAACGATTCTAAAGAATATTCTAAAGAATAATTTATTTGTTGATTTAAAAAAAATCCGCTTGACCGGTTTCGATAAAATTTATATGGCACACCTGCAGGGAAGTATACCCTTTGAAACAAAAAAAATTCCAAATCGGTTCAGGCGTCTTCGAGTAATTTATTTATTTATTTATTTATTTATTATAAAGGCTTACTAACTAAATTTACATAAAAATATTTATTCAACATTATAATTTTACCTATTTGTATATAAATTTAATTTAAAAGTATGCACATCCTTTTATAGAATTATTCCATTAAAATTTTATGTGTACAATAAACAAAAGAAGAAAAAAAAACTAATCTAATAATAATAAGAGTAATCGGTGAACATACATAAAAAAAAGAGATTCCGTCGAATTGAGAACCTCCTCCTTTTTGGAAGTCGGTTAAAAATATACCGATATACCTATTTCAAATTATATGTGGTGATTTTTACTAATTGACGAAAAAAAGGAGGTGGTTCTCAATTTGACACATAATTTTTTTTATGTTTGACAACGCATAGCTATATACAAAGTAGTCCGATTTTGATGATTATTTTTTTATTGGATAGGGTTTACTTCAAAGTTGGTCCCACTTAAATTTGAAAAAAAAACCCACCCTTAAGTGTAGACAATAGGGCATGATTTTTCATCTACCTACTGAATTTTTAAAATACCTTTTTCTTACTTTGCTCTTACTATGTTTACACTAAAATTGAAAATTAAAAATTTAAAATTATTTACAAAAATGAAAAACCCGACTGCGTAAAAAGCGAACTAAAAGGAAGAGAACAAGTTGACGAAGGAACACAGTATTATGCAGTCGGAGGCATACATTCGCAGGTATTCTAAAATATGTACATATGTGTATGTATGCATGTTTCCGACTATCCATGTTCTTTCGTCAACTTGTTCTCTATTAAGTTAAAGTAGACATTTTTTTTCTCCTAGTATCCGCCAATTTGATTTTTATTGACCTATATGACACTCGCATTATTAAGACGAATTGAATGATAAATGGATGATCAAATTCGCTTAAGCCGTTTAGTAATTGCGAGGAAACATAAGATCAGACATACATACATGTCAAACACATAACCCTCCTTTGGGCTTCGCCGCAGTCGGGTAAAAACCGTCTTAAAAAAATCACTAAGAAGTAAAAACAACTGATTGGTAGCTATCCTAATCAGATATTTTCGAAGACGGTGCCAGCCGATACAAATCAAATTAAACCTGTAATAAAAGAATTTCCTAGTAAATACATCTTATTTTTGAAACAACATAAAATTATATTCAATTACAGCACCATGAATTGTAAGTACTTTTCATTTAAAAAAAATCATAATAATGTCTTGCTTGCATAATAAATAGTTATTGCTATTTTATAATAAAATGCTTCAATTATGATACAAAACTAAAAGTATTAGTAGGTGCATATTTTTAATGTTTGAATATATATTTTAGATTAATAGAAGAGGATGCAAAATCAAATAATCAAAAATGTGCAGAGATACTCATGGATGAATGGGGGACATCAGGCAGAGTTAGGCCTACTCTAAGTCATTTAAAAGATATTTTAATTAAAGCAGAAATATATAGAGCTGCTGACCTAATAGCACACATGTTAAAAGGTACATATTATGTAATTAATCATATATTTTATTAGGATGGCAAAAACATTCTAGTATTAATTGAATACTTTACATTTATTATATCTGAGCGACTCATCCTCGCTTCGCTCGGGTTCGTCCAATAGCTGAGTCTTTAAATTGACATAACTTATATCTATGAACCGATTGAAAAAAACCAAATACTAAATGTTAAGTGAAGCTTACCACCATATACTGGTGAAAACCGTACCAATATCGGTTAAGTAAAAATCATTGTTTTGGGTTCTATTACGTTAATAAAGACCCTCAATAATAGCGTTTCTCAAATATCTCCTAAGTACCTACAGATAGCGATCAGTTACAATTTTATTATATGTATAGATAATATTAATAAGTAGTGGAAGTAGTCTTAAAACCTCATATGATTTTCATTCATTTAACCTATTGTTTTATAGAACCCTTGCCTAAGCGCCCAACGCATGGTCCACCCGCACCTATAACAGGTATTACTGAAATATTAAATGAAGAAAGTTTAGATCTAGGATTCAGTAATAACATGTCATTCTCTAATAAAGATTGTAATGGAACAAATAAAAAAATGGAATCTGTTAGTGATTTCATACATTTTTCTGAAAATAGTACAGATGAGGCCTCAGTTGAGAAAGAATCTCAGTCTGACTTAATAGATTTCTCAGAAGACACAACAACAGAAGAAGCTTTGAGAGTGATGCCATCGGCATCTAAGAACTTTAGTCAAAAGTCAACTTCACGTTTAACAAGTGATTCTTCAGATACTGAAAGTTCATTTCAGAGTTACTCTGAAAATACTAATCAAAATTATAGTAAATATGACATGAACAATTATCAGCAAACTTTTCCAGATATTCCTATGTCGTCAGTAATAGAGACCACTATACTAGAAGATGTAAAGCTAAATAATTTTGATTATTATGAATTGGAAAGTATTACAGGAAACTTTTCTAATGAATTAGAAGATATTGGTCCAAAAGGTCTTAGAGGAAAAATAGGTAGTGGAGGTTTCGGGGATGTTTTTGTTGGAAAACATCAAAAATATGGTATGCTTGCTGTTAAGAGAGCTCATAGTTCTCATCCTAACATACATCGTAGACCTGACATTGCTATGAAGATATTTAATGCAGAAGTAAAGTTTTTATCTCAGTTCCGACATAAGAACATCGTGTCTATCATAGGTTACTCTAGAAATGGACCAACACCATGTATTGTTTGTGAATATGTAGATGGAGGTTCTTTAGAAAAAATAATTGAGGCTAAAGAGTTAAGAGTTGAAGCTCAAAGAATAATTATAATGGTGGGAATAGCTGAAGGATTAAAATACTTACACACAAGTGAAGAATCATTGCATAATAAGGATAATGCTGATGTAGGGACAGGGGCTGATTCAGTTTCACAAAAATTAAATAAAAAAATTATTCATGGAGATGTCAAAACTGCCAACATTCTTCTGACTAAAGATTATGTGCCTAAGGTATTTTTAATATTACTTACCTTGTATATACATTGTAGGATTACTTAATGACTTTGATTTCCATGGTGCAGCAATTTAAAGATGGATTTAAATATATCTTATTAAAATAGAATATGACACCATGTAAATTGTGTAGTCTCTCTCTTAATCTGAAAATTGAAACATTTAACTATTTTTTTTACAGCTGTGCGATTTTGGCGTTGCTAAGCAATATGATGCTACATTTATGACAACTTGTTTTATGGGAACATCTGCATATATGGCACCTGAAGCTTTACAAGGAATGGTTACTCAAAAAACAGATATCTTTAGTTATGGTATTGTACTGTTAGAATTACTCACGGGTCTTAAACCCATCATTAACCATAATGGCTGTAATTATAACATAAAACATTATGTTGAGGAAAACTGCACTCAAGAAGATATCACTCCTTTATTAGATCCAATTGTTGAAACTTGGAAAAATGGTATTAAAGTTTATGATTTGGCCAGATGTTGCTTCAAGTACAACTGGAAGAACAGACCTAGCATTACTGAAGTTTGCAATGACTTGATCAATATTAACAGTGGGACAAATTAAAAGGGGACCATCATAATTAACATGATATTTGACATGATAGAATTTTGTATAAAGATATTATTTTATAAATAAAAAATTTTTTAGACATGAATTTCTTGTTTTATTAAATTTATTCTCTGTTTAAAATTTTCATTTTTTATAACATTAGCTTTTTCTAAGTTAACCAAAATTTGTTTTTGTTCTTCCACTTTGCAGATGTTAATCATAGTCACCACAAGTTTCTGAATCTGAGTAGCTGTTTCTTCATTTTTACATTCATACAATACTTTTAATAAAGTTGATATTAATTTATGATCTGAAGAAAACTTCCACACACACCAGCAGTACCCAATCCATTCTTCTAAGCACTGAAAATTAAAATAAATCGATTAAAAACCTTTATTCATAGAGTATTTAATCAATAAAAACAATGTTATTTTTTTATTTTCTTCAAGCAACTACATTTACCTGAAGTGTAACAACTAAGAGTATATCAGCCACAGCCTCATTTGTGCATACATCTAAACTGTCACAAATAATAGTTTTGAATTCACTCTTACTGATACAATCCACTTGATGTAATTGGATGATATTTTTAGCAAATCTTAAACATTCAGCTTTTCTATATAAATTTGTTTCCGTACTCAATTGATCAAGTATTCCAGTATACATATCATCTAATCTTGCGCTCTAAAATGTATTATAATTCACTTCATTATCTTAATTTTTTACTTTAAAATATAAAAAAACAAAAAGTAACATCGATGATGAAAATTAGTTTTACCTTTATTTCAGGTGGAAAAATTTTACAAAGCTCTAAAAGGCAGGCATGTGTTAACTTTGTTATATCCGCATCTTTTTCAATAAAAGCCTTTGTAAGACTTCTATAAATAACTTCATAATAATTTCCACATTCAAAATCTTTGTACTCCTGTTAATAAAAAAGAAAACTTACAGTATGCAGTATAAGAGAATCAGAGAAGGTCACGGGTTCGAGTCTCGGTGGGGGCATTCATTTGTGTGATGAGCATGAATGTTTGTATTTATAATATGTATGTATGTATGTATTTAAAGTTATATATGTGTTGTGTATTAACCAAGAAAATAAGTTTTTAATCAAAAAGACATTTTATTTTTGTGATATAACTATAAATTTATGGTTTTCGGATTTTTCCCTTTACTTGTGCTATAAGACATTGCTTCTTGCTAAATTTCATGATTCTAGCTCTAAGGGAAATACCCCATAGATTTTGATTCCCTTGCAAGTATCAAAATATGCGAAATTATTTTTTTCACAGTTCCAAGGGAATGTAATGTAAAGTAGACTCATTTTCCGCACTTAGACTCCCTTCTGGTCCGTTGTGCGTGAAGTTCCAAGGGATTGCAGACCTCAGTATTTCGTATTATGGTATCATTAGAGTATGGTATGGTATATACGGGTTGGTTTCCGCAATTTGACGACTTTGCCTCTATTTTGCGTGGTCACGGTGGTGTAGTGGCTAGCGTACATGCTAGCTAGGCTGCTCATCCGAAGGTCCTGGGTTCGAGTACCAGGTTGGGCCAAGTTTAGTTATTGAGTCTTTCTATTTGGTAAGTTTTAGTAATAGCCAGGAGTTCGAAAGTTATCAGTGATGCACCCTCATGCCTCAGAGAACATGTAAAGCCGTTGGTCCCGCGCCTTAACTCTCATGGTCTCATGTCGAGTAATAGTCTCGTCACTGGAGTATGAGTGACAGGAATAGAGAGTGCACTTATATCTTTTCACACATTTGGCAATATAATATCTCCTGCGCAGATGGATAGTCTTAATGGCTACCGTGGCTGAAATCGTTCAAGAAGAGGACATTATTATTAGATATTAATTTTAACTTGATATCTTGCATATTTCTATGCAAAAAGGTCTTAACAGACAGACAATGAAGTGATCCTATAATTTTTCTTTGAGGGATCCTTTTTTCCTTTTGAGATACCAAAACTTAAAAAGAGTTTAAATTTAACTTACCAAACATCTTAAAATAGACAAGCAGCATATTAAGCCTTTACTATTGTGTGCTGTTATGTAATCTTCAATTAAGAGAAGGGAGACTGGAAATATTGTTTGGGGTCTTATTTTAACATTATATTTCTGAAAATAGTAAGTGTTCAAATGATACTATTGTATTAACTGAAAAATATAATCATTAAAATATTTTAAAACTTTTTATTAACTTACTCTCACATCTTTAACAATAGAACAATAGACTTCAATTTGGCCAGGATATTTTTTGAAATTCTCATATGAGAGTTTTAAGTGCAGATCTTCTAAGCATTTATCATATATTTCCTGAACATTAAAATGAGTATTTTGATGAAGAATATTATCAAGACGTAACCCACATAATAGTTCAAAATAAATGTTTAGTTTTTTTGAATATTCCTGGCTCTTTTCACCATTTCCTGGGCAGTCGCATGATAATTCCTTATATAAAATAAGCAAAGCTGATACTATAGCTGAAGCTTCTTTTGTATTTGCTAAGTCCAAATCTCCAAGATATTGTTCAAGTAATTGAAAGTTTTGGTCTAAATTGTTATTACGAATGCTCAATTCTACATGGTTCGTTGTTTCATCAATATTTTTAGCAAATTTTGGTATTAAACAACGATTTATGCTGTCTAATAATTTCAAAATATATTTCATGATATTAAAAATCTATTGGGTAACTGATCAAATTATTTCAACTTGATAAATATTTGACTTAGTCAATATATTATATTTGATGTAATAAATAAATATAACGAACTGATAAACCTCAGATCATAATATTTATACAGTAATTGTATACTTAGCGCAGAATATAATAATTAATAGGAGAATTAGGATTTAGGAGACATAAGTAAACAGTGTAAACTCACTACTCAGTGACAACTGACAGTGACAACCATGGATGACAATTGACAAATGACAACTGACAACTGATAAGTTGACAAATTTGTGACAACAGACAACAAGAGTCAAAATCCAATGAGGTTAACAAGAGTGGTGAAAAGTAGTCTACCTAATCTGTGGTCTTGTGGATGAATAATAAACAGTGAACATGAATGTCGAACATAGACGTTAGACCAGCTAGATGAAGATGTGTACGATTGCTGCATTTTTTACCGCCAGTTAAAAAAAAAAATCGCACGCACAGGGGAAAAAAGTGCGTGTGTGTACAATTCAATACACGATAATGAAACTTCAGAAAAGTAACTTACGAGAGAATGCAATGAATATAGAGTAGCAGGAGTAGGATAATTATAATTATTTTACATTTTATTTGACTTAAATATACATTACATTATACTTATTATTCAGTAATTAATTTTGTCAGCTTAATCTTATATATTTATGTGTTTATCTCTTTGTCATGACATTTTTTTGTTTGATCGAGTTTCAAATCACAATAGTGAACGATTCTAACTAAGTTTCATTTCAAGCTCTTTTCACGTGCATAAAGAAACAGTCTATCATCTTTGGGAGTTCGCCATATTGGATTTACAATAATGTTACTTTGCTTTCGCGTTTTGTGTTTCGCTCATCAAGTATTTTCAATTGATAGCCATATAATGGGGGTGCATAAAAAAACAGTCGCCATCTTTGAGAGTCTGCTATTTTGAATTTTATGATTATTATTTTTCACTTCCTGTTTAATGTATTCTAACTCATTCTCTCGCCAACTTAACCCTTTTTATTTATGTGCTTGTCTCTTTGTCGTGACTCATTTGCCATTTATCGAGATTCAAATCACGATTCTAAAGAAGTTTCATCCGATTTATCGCCGGATTCGTGTGTGTCTATAGCATATATATTCTGCAACTGTCATTCACTGGGAAATGTTTTATTTTCCTCTATAATCTGTGACAATTTATAGTCTTTCAAGTATTTGTCATCCATGCTTTCAAGGACCTACCCTACCCCAGCCTGCAAATTTATGATATTTGCAATGAAAAAAATACTAATCGATAGATTTTCAATAGCTCAATTTAACTACGTAGCCCTTTCAAATTGCTCACCTTTAATTATTTAATTAAAAATCAATAAAGTCTTTGAAAAAAATTAATTTATCTGTATATTCAAACTCCTATATCTTTTGATGTTTACAATATTTCAAATTGCTCAAAGTTCTAAAATACTGCTCAAGTTGCATTTGTAATTGCTCAAGTAGAGTTTTTACCAGCTCCACTTTCGCTGATTATTAAATAATTAAAAGTATAGTTGTAATAAATGTAACGTAGGTTAAGTGAGCGTGCGCATGCGCACCGCGCATTGTCGGTCGGCCTCGGCGGGCTTGGACAATCGTTCCAATTCAACGTCTTAATTCTGTTTCTCGGTGGATTTCTTTAAATTTATTGAATTTATGAATTGTTCACATTACGTGATTCCACTTCAGATATTATAACATAAAGAACAGATCTGGAATCTACCAATAAATGAAAATTAATACCAACAGATAAATTAAGACAAAATCTTATGTTCAAATGCTTATTCTATTAAGGTAATAGCCATGACAGGGATCATTAGTAAAATGTTATTAACATCAATACAAGACGGAACTTTTTTTATTTTTAAATATACATATAGTTTAATGACATTTTTATTTCAAAGAAACAAACTGCATGAATATAAACTGCCTTTAATATAAAGGAATTTTGAACTCTGATCAGCAATCAATAATTTAATAATACTGCTGTTTGCGCGCATGCGCAGCACTCACCTATCTATACGTTAAATTTATTCAAACTATTTATATTTATTTAATAATTAAGGAAAGTGGAGCTGGTGAGAACTCTACTTGAGCAATTACAAATGCAACTTGAGCAGTGTTTTAGAACTTTGAGCAATTTGAAATATATTATACATCAAAAGATATAGGAGTTTGAATATACGGATAAATGAATTTTTTTTCAAGGACTTTATTGATTTTTAATTTTATAATTAATGGTGAGCAATTTGGAAGGGCTACGTAGTTGAATTGAGCTATTAAAAATCTATCGATTAGTATTTTTTTCATTGCGAATATCATAAATTTGCAGGCTGGGGTAGGGTACCTCTTTCAAGGTTCTGTTTTTACTCATCTGTGTGACGTATAATCTGTTGTCCGTTCTATCTTATATCTATGGCAGTGTAGCCGCTTAGGGGTTTTACCACCAAATTTAGGGGGGAAATTTGCACCAGCACCATTGAACTTTTTGATGAGTTGACTATTTTCATTTTTGAATTATTTTATAATAAATATGACATCTATACTCGGAATTTTAATTCGATTCCAGATTTGATAATTTCAGTGTTGCGACGTTATGACAAGTACTAAATAGTGACGTTGCGAAATTATTCGATACAGAAATGGAATATTTCCGGATCGATTCCTCTCGTTTATAGTAGTATATCTAAACAACTACTACTTAATAGAAACTAAGTATATCAGGAAATTAAATATTTCTGAACGGATAATTTAGTTATGACGATTAATTTTATTAAGGATCTGAGAGTTTTCTTTAATAATTGTGTGTGAAATAAATAAATAAATGTGATCATGAAGGAACATGAGAAATAAAACAAATAGATGTATTATGGTAATATTTTATTTTATAAATCGTCGCCATCATCGCTATCGCTATCGCTTTCTGTAACGTTTATTATATATGTGTCTGTGATATTGTCAATTAACATATCTAGCCTACTCATTTTTTCCTCTTATTTGACAACATGGGGTACACATTTAGAACATTCGGTAGCCGTAATTTTTTGAATACCTTCCTCAAATAAATTTCTCACGTCTGTCAATTTGAAGGTTTTATTATGTTATTATACTTGCAGGCGTTGCGGATCATTACTTTTTCAGTAACAGTGAAAGCTTTTCGTGGAGGTTTTTTATTGGGAACAAGAAAACATCCACGTCTTTTTGTGATGTACTTGGCTGAGGATCCATTTTGATGGAAAACCAAAACAAATAGATTCACTCAAAGTTCACAAAATACTATAAACATAACAACAAACACAACATAGCAAAAACCCAACAAAATAACTAAATATCGATTCGCAATGAAACAAGATATTCGTGCAGTCAGACTGGGAGAATGAAGCATGCCCTGCGAACCGAGGGCATCCTGATTTAGGCGAGGCTGGCCCGCGTGGTACGGGCCGTCCGCAGGGGTGTTGCAGTGAGTGCGAAAGCGAGCCTGCACGCCCCATTGCACTGCGGCGAAGGGTTCCGCTGTGGGTTTTAGTGAGTAGGAGTCTCACAGTACCCTGCCCATGACGGCGGCAGGCTCCCCATGATGGGTTTCCCCAGCGAAAACAAAGAAAAAGGGAGAATGAAGCCGACTGCCGAATGACAAGATAAACAAAATGGCGATAGCTGCACGAGCGCGCACGGGTTGCCAATACAGAAAACTATCTATTTAGACTCTTTTATTATAAGTTTTGTTTTTAATATAAAAAACAAAAATATTAACTTTTTATAAAATAAAGCAGTGGTTACTAATTAATAAATAATTATTATGAATAATTATGTATTTATTTAAATAAAAATCAATAATTTAGTCTTTAATTGGCACACCAATATTATGATTACATAAACATCAATCGCGATTGCTTATCGATTTTTGTGTTCATCACTACACTATTATATGTGGTATCATTATTTTACAAAATGACAGTAGCTAATGTCAAATGTGGAATCGAATTATAATTCCGAGTATAGTGGTGAACCGCATAATGCCATAACTGGTAACATTTCTGAGTTTGTGCTGGTAAGTTACCAGGGGTCATAAAATATCACCGGGGATTTTTAGCAGTGAAAAATATTTGTAGTGTTTATAAAGTTTTGGTAAAAGACTTCGTAAAATTATACCTCTTTTTTATTATTTTCTAAACTATCTATGGAATTTATTATTATTTGTAAATGTTTATATAATTTTGATAATAATAATAATCATAAATGAGTTTTTTACTCAATTTGTAATCATTTAAAAAAAATATATTAGATAAAAACCTATATTTTTCAAATAGTCACATAATATGAGGTTTTAGGGTTTTTGAAATTACTTTTAGGGGGGTAAAATTTCCAGTGTGGGCAACACTGATCTATGGTTATGAGTTATGACTTTTGACAGTGTGAAAATTCAAATTAAAATACGAATTACGAAAATACTCTTGTGTGTTGTTTGTCAGGACAGAGTGATTGTGTGAACTTATGTGCCTTCTTATTTTGAAAATCAGGTAGAAGGATGTTTGCATTTGATTTTAATTAACAAGAAATTTTATTTACACAAAGAAATATATGCCTGAAATGAAAATCTAAAAATTCAAACAGAAGAAAGCTAAATTATTATCATCTAAATATAAAACTTCTCTTCGATAGAAGTGATAGCAGTGCTGTTATTAAATGAAATTTAGTTTGTATGCAGTTCCCCAATGGTGAGCATATTTTGTAAGCTCCAAATAAATTTGTGGTTGAATGTGTTCATGAATGCATGAATTAGGTGTAATGAAAAAAACCTCATCGAGTATTACTCTTTGTGAGGTGACTTAGTGCTTTAAACTTTAAATTTGTGATAATTCTTACCTATGCCTAATAAAAAGAAGAAAAACTCACCTCAACGGTTATGGGAATATATTTCATCTATCTTCGTTACATTTGTTGAGAGAGTTTTTTTCTCTCTTGGAGTAATTGTTGCGAGACATCCATGGAGAGTCATCATAGCAACATGGGTATTTGTGGTACTGAGTTGTGGTGGATTATTTACATTTCACATAGAAAAGAATCCTATGAAATTATGGGTACCACCTGATTCGGATTTTTTTTATGATACAAATTGGTACATAAATAATTTTGGAACAAATTTTAGACTTCAGAAATTGTTAATAACAGCAGATAATGTTTTAGATCCAAATATTTTACAATTCGTTCACAATATTACAAGTCATGTTAACTCATTGGAGACTAATTTTCAAAATAAAACTTATTCTGTAAGTGATTTATGTTTCAAAGTTCCTGTTGTTAATTTTCTTAGTACTAATTGGAAATCAAGATCTGAAGATTCAATAAATGCTAATAGCAATAAATCTTTACAGAATGAAGACTTGTCTGATTTTTCTCTTTTGATTGATGATGATTTTTATTGCAATTTAATTGAAAGTTTTCCATTAACATGTTTACAATATAACATATTAGATATTTGGAAAAGTAATATTACCTTGATTGAAAATGTTACAAAGAAAGAAATAATAAGAGGAGTTAATCAAGAGAAAGTAAACCCCAGAACTGGTCATCCAACAGACTTTACTAAGTTCTTAGGAGGGTTAGAGCATGATGAAAATGGAGATATTGTATTAGCAAAATCTCTTTTATTAACTTGGTATATGGAAGTAAACATGACACAAGTTGATCTTAATGAAGTTGGTAATTTAGTTGGTACTGAAGAATGGGTTTCCATCCCATTAGCTCTCTGGGAAAAAGAATACTTAAAATATGCCGAGTCTTTATCTCATAATAATGCAAATGTAAACATTTTCTATGAAGCAGGAAGAAGTTTTGCAGATACATCAGGAGAATCAATGTTTCAAGAATTAGATAAATTATTTATAGGTATAATTTTGATGTTGTTTTATGTTCTTGTTGCAGTTTCACATTTTAATTGGTTAGAGATAAGATTAACATTAGGAAGTATTGGTTTGTTGAATGTTGGATTAGCCTATATAAGTGCAGTAAGTTGGTGTTCTTTATTTGGAATACCTTTTGGACCTGTACATTCATCTCTGCCTTTTCTTTTAATGGGGTTAGGTGTAGATGATATGTTTGTAATGAATGCTTGTTGGAAGATTGTCATAGCTTCAGATAACCATAAAAGTATCCCCATCAAGGTTGGCCACATGTTAAGACATGCTGGAGTATCAATAGTAATAACATCATTTACTGATATTGTAGCATTGTTAATAGGTGCTATCACAATTTTGCCTTCGCTAAAGTCATTTTGTATATATGCAGCGGCTGGAGTCTTCTTTATTTTTTGTTATTCTGTCACATTTTACGTAGCAGTTTTTACTTTAGACCTTAAACGAATACATGAAAATAGAAATGGTATATTGTTTTGTTATAAACATAAGAAAGAAATTCAAGTATCAGTTGAGAAAACTTATTTCCAAAAGATATTTGCAATAATATATAAAAAGGTTATCTTCACAAAATGTGGAAAAGCTATTATATTGTTATTCACTGTGGTTATGACTAGTTTTAGTATAGCAGCAGTATTCAAATTGGAACAAAGATTTGATCCAAGATGGTTTGTTCCGGATGGTTCATACTATAAAGATTTTATAAATGTCCATGATGAATATTACCCTGACACGGGCCAACCTGGAGTTATATTCTTAGACGACTTAGATTATCACAGAGAATTTGCAAAATTACATGATATGATACAAATATTGAAAAATGAATCTTACATAGCTGAAGTTAATTCATGGGTTGATACTTTTCATGGATATGTTTTAAAAAATTACAATCGTAATTTAAGAAACACCTCGGTTTCTGATGAAAACTTTAAAAGATATTTAACTAGATTTTTATTTAGCCAAGTCGGAGGGCGTTATCAGATAAATTTTAGGTTTATGGATCCTCTCATATGTGGTCATCCAATTCGTAAAATTACTGCCTCATCTATGCCATTCAGATTCACTAAATTTGAAGGTCCTGAACAATATATACCAGCCATGAACCGTATCAAGGAGATTGTTAAGACAACAAATATAACTTCAGGGTCTGGTTATCGCAGTGTATGGTCTAAAGCTTTTGCAAATTGGGTTACTGATGAGATAATAGCAGTTGAAGTTGAAAGAAATATAGAGTTAGCTTTGTTTTGTGTTATGATTTGTACTGTTATTTTGATAACAAATCTTCAAATGTGTTTATGGATATTTATTTGTGTTTTATTGACAATTGTAAATGTTTTAGGTTGGATGCAAAGGTGGGGTATGACTGTCGACATTGTATGTTGCATTGGTCTCGAACTCGCGATTGGTCTCTGTGTAGATTACGCCGCCCACGTTGGCCATACCTTTTTGACAATAACGCAGGGCAGTCGTCATGAAAGGGCGTATCAAACCGTAACATCCATAGGTTCTGCTGTTTTGTTAGGTGGTGGTTCTACATTATTATCATTATCGCTTCTCAGTATGTCAAAAGCCTATACGTTTCAGTCATTTTTCAAAATATTTTTACTTGTTATAATTTTTGGCCTTTTTAATGGTTTATGTTTCTTGCCTGTAGTTTTATCACTCATTGGCCCACGGGCACATAAAGTCCACGATGAAAGCGATAAATCGCAAGAGGCAGTAGAATTAAGTGACAAGACTTATTATGATAAAGTAAAGCAAAATGATGAACATCTATGATCCAAGTTCACTTTCTTATGAACAATAATTAGATTTATTCGCAATTTTTTACTCTACATACGGTAGAAATCGAAATAGGGAAAAATTTAATTTTGGATTAAATTATGTACGTACCTATGTAGGTAAAACTACTAAATGTAATTTTAGTGTCTATAGTATTTTAAGTAATTAATAAAAAGTATCTTTATGGACATTATATAATGATATTTTATGTTTTAACATTATTAAATACCTATGATATTGTAAAATAAATATTTGTGTAATGTGAAAAATGTCTACAAGCATGTGTGAATGCTCAGAACTTGATACGTAATATTTACAGCTGATAGTTTTATAGGTAATGCAACGGAAACTGTGATAATTCGATAAAACGGATATCATAATATTTTGTATTACAATGATTTTATATGCTGCTCATATAAGTAATTAAAATAAAATATTTTTTTATAAAAATTGTATTACTTATTTATAATACTTTTTCATTTTATGATTAGAAATATATGTACCTAGCTACCTATAATGTTTAATTTGTATCGATCTACAATATTCATTTCATAAATTAAATTTTAATGTGTTATCATGTTATATTCGAAAATATTGTGATCTGATATCTCAAAAACTACTCAATATATCTTCTTCATAATAATTTTCGTTGAAATTAATATGGAAACTCTATTATCCTAAAATTAGATATTACCGGACCAGACAAGACGAAATTGTATATGTTCCGTTTTTGCCTTTTTTACAGAACCCTAAAAACCGTCCAGTAAAAGAGTTAGTACCTACTTGTGTAGGTTTTGTGTATGGGAATTTAAAGCCATAGTATGTTTTAACTAGTAGGTCTATATATACTATTTAGTCCTATCTACTTCTTTATTAAATGTTATATTTGATCAGTTAATACATGTATATAAATTACTAGCAGAATCCGCGGCTTCGCTCGCACTAAAACTAAAAAATACCTAAAAAGGTAGTTTCATACAAACTTTCATCCCCTATCTTACCCCCTTATACTCGTAGAATGAATTGCGAAAAATGCTAAGACACGTATTTATTTAATTTTATTGAAGAGCATTAATACCAAGTTTTAAGTAATTCTGATCATAAATATTTTTTTGGATTGTATTATAATTAGAGATGTGCCGATTAGTCGCCGACTAGTCGGCCACTTTTGTAGTCGGCGAATAGTCTGCAAAAAGGGCCGACTAGTCGGCTTCTTACTTTGTACGTATTTTTTAATCAATCCATCAAAATATACTTTATTTAAATAGACTTTTACAAGCTCTTTTAAATCGTCATTTTTACATTATGAAAATAAATATTTTACATTAAATATCTGTATGTAAGTCCGTGAGGGAACTAACAAAATATATGTATTTACAGCCCTTTTTCATGTTAGAAATGATTCGCACATGAAAATATCAGATGTGCGAGACAGAGATTGAACCCGCATTACTCGGTTATCCACGCGAGCGTGTCACTGGGCTATCACTGTCGCTATAGCTAGAGAGCCAGCTTAAATCTGACAACACATATTTTACGATGCCTGAAATTTTGTCCAGCTATACTGCTATACCCACTGAACAAGCAATGGGTACTAGCTAAGCCCGACCGCGGAATTTATATTAATGATTTGAAATTTTTTGTACAGGACAAACATGAGGTAGTATTGTTCGCTGATGACACGAAACTCGCTAATGTACGACGATGTAAATGATGCTCTATCAAAGGTTGTCTATTGGTTTGATTCAAATAATTTATTATTAAGTAAATAATAAAAAGACAAAATTAATAAAATTCTTAATACCTAATGCCAAACTTGTTGATGATGGTGTAATATTAAATGGCGAAGTGTTAAAACCTGTAGAGTCCACTAAATTCCTAGGTATTATCATAGATTCGAAATTGCAGTGGGGCCCCCATGTTGAGGGGCTAGCGAGTAGACTCAGCTCTGCAGCGTTCGCGGTTAAAAAAAAGACTTCTTACTGATGTAGATACAGCTCGTATAGTATATTTTAGTTATTTTCATAGTGTTATGTCTTATGGTATCTTACTATGGGGAAATGCAGCTGCTAATAATACAATTATTGTCGTGCAGAAAAGAGCTATTCGTGCAATTTATAGTTTAGGTCCTAGAGTGCCATTAAGAGATAAGTTTAAATAAATAAAAGTATTGACTGTTGCTTCTCAGTACGTGTACCAAAATTTTATGTATGTCCGTAAAAATATACACGAATTTCCCAAGAATGTCCTCCAGAATTTCCCATGAATGAAGTGTGACATGCATAACATCAATACTAGGAGCAAACACAAACTTGTAATGCCTGTCACTCATCTACACAGAGTCAGTAATTCTTTTTATGGACAATGTATACGCTTGTACAACAGGATCCTAGAAAATGTTCAAAAGGCTTCTATCGCCAAATTCAAAAAAAATGTTAAGGAACATTTGTGTGCTAAAAAGGCTATTATACAATAAATGATTTTATAGATGGCACACCTTGGGAATGAAATGATTGCCTCCAGGCTACTTCAATTAACAAAATGAAAATTGTGGGTAGGCTGTCTGTAATAACTATACCTTCAAGACATGTAACACCTCAGTCTCTCCCGTGACCATGGATGCTGTAAAGCATTCGAAACGTCGGGAACCAAAAATCAAAATAAATCCACGAAATAATTCGAAAAGATAGTTTTATTTTAAAAAGTAGAAAATACTGAATATGGATCTACAATTTTTCTAGTACGTTATTTTGATGAGTCTCTTGTCCAGCGTTAGTATTTGCTACTCTCATCAACATAACGTACAAAATTAAATGATTAGATAACGTATAAAATTAAAAGATTAAAATACATAATATGAATAAGTTATCTTGCTCATTTGAATTTATTAATGTGCTACTTATTTATTTATTTATTTTATTGAGTGTGGTGCCGAGGTCGGCCCTAGCTATGTTGACCAGTTATGGTCCATTGTAGCTTATGTGCTACTTAAAAGTCTTCTTAGAAATATTATATATAGAGTCTTATTATATTTAGAGTCGCCTTACCTCTGTTAGCTAGTTTAGTAGGTATATGAATGAATTTTATAAAATAACTTTATCTACATGAACAAAAAACTATTTAAAATTTGAAATAATTATGACTTAATTAGCATTATCATAGGCACACAGTGCGGTTGTTGTTGTACTCATTATAATTGGTCGTTTTTCATGCAGCCGATAATTTTCAATAATTAAAGTGATTAAGTAACGGATAATAAGATAAATTAATATTATATTATATGTACATAGATAATAAAATTCAACACGATTTCGAATGAACTGTATTTTATCTTTATAACCTTTATATAGGTTTTTTTATCAAAAGGCTGCAGCAAGTCTCTGGTGTCGGTCTGTCTAACAATAAAATCATTTGATTATATTTTTAATAGATTACTATAATTAATTAAAGCACATTTTTAATAAATTACGCAAAAGTCAAAAGTACAGAAGGTCAGATAAAACAAAGTACCTATTCTTTTTTTTATTTGCTCTATCTGTACGGTACAAAGTACAAACTACATAGGTACAATATTGTGTAATGGTACGGACTCTAGATGTGAAGAATGTGAAGCGAGTGTAGTAAAGGGTATAGGCTAGTATGTTAAAATATTGTATTCGGTCACATAAAGGCCTTGGCTCAAGACAACTTCGGACTTTTGACCTAAAATTGAACTCTCTCAAGTCTCATGTTATCTATATAAACGCGAAAGTCGATTGACAAGACGTGTAGGTCCATTTTAGGTACACAACTACACAATTTTCATGATTCATACCGATAAATGTAGGTACCTACATAAAGATAATAACATGCTGTTGTTTTGATTTACAGAACTTATATTATTACATAGTATGTTTATAATTTATATGATAACCGATTTATTATAATTATTAAACAAAAATGTACGCAATTTTGTCATTAAAAAGATTTAACAATGTTGTCTTGTTGTATTTGACCTTTACACTTTTACTTTTTTTTTGTAAATAAACATAGTAATAAAACAAAGAAACACTTAATAATTAAGCGATAAATATATTTTAAAGTTATCATTATTACCTACCTACTAAAATAGTGGTTGATATTATTTCAACTTGATTTAAGTCTGTTAATTTTTTTAACCTAGATATAATGTATTAAAACTAGCGACTCAGCCTCGCTTCGCTCGGGTTCGTCCCTAGGTTGATTCCTCATACAAACTTTCATTCCCATTTTCACCCCCTTAAAGATGATTTCCGGGATAAAAAGTAACCTACGTCCTTCCCAGGGTCTTAAACTATGTTCTTACCAAATTTCATCTAAATCGGTTAAGTAGATCCAGAGATTACCCTCTACAACGTCACAAACTCACCATTCACAAACTCATAAACTTTACCTCTTTATAATATTAGTATAGATAGATCGACGGATAGTATTGTATATAAAAAAACCATCATATAGAAATATCACTCAATAGATTACGACACGGTCGCGGTTCCATACCTACGAATATGTCGTATTATCTCTTTAACCATTTGTCCAAATTATATGTAGTAATAGGGAAAAGTTTGTTGTTTTAAACATTTTAGACGATAAATTTACTTATTTTGATAAGAATTCAGAATTGTTGATAATATGACCAATAAACATGACGTTTTTTTTTTATGTCGGGATTTTATTTCATTTACGCATACCACCTGATCCCCCAGGTGGTGATGTGGGGCTCACCGGCTAGAAGAGCCGGTACTACCCACTAAAACCCGACATTCCTCTCCCCTGCGCCTTAATGGGACGCCGTAGGATCGCTTGCGCATAACTACTGCGGCGCCCCGGCGGCAAACATGACCTACCGATTTAAATAATTTTTTTAATTTAAAAACCTACTTTTTGTGACTTAAATATAAAAATTAGACATATGCTGTCGCTGATTTTGTAGGCATTATTAAGCTCTACAACTTTTCTCTAGAACATAATGATGT